TTTAAAAAATATATATTTTATGGTTTTTTAAATCAACTGTATCTGCAAGCATTAGGGCATGCCCAAACTCTGTGATACCACTGCTTTGAGCAGAGGGCTGGACTGGATCAACTACTGAAGTTTCCTCCAACCGGAATTATTTTAAGATTCAAAAGTTCTATGCAAAAAATCACACCACTCTACTATCTCATTTGTATTAAGTTTGTGTTAACAGACTTGATTTGTATTAAGTCTGGAAAAGGCAGATGCTATAAACCAACCCTGGCCCTTCAGTTTGAGTAAAGGGGAAATGTATCCGTTTCTTTCAGGAGGGACAACGGACTCTGCCTCGTTGAGGTCCCCAAGAGCTCCTCGTGCTTCCCACTTTCTGGAAAAAGCAGAAGCGCGTTATTTCAGCATGTTACACAGAAATGAGGAATAATTTGCTGAGAAACGTTGTGAGCAGTTTGGATATACTATTTCCAAAATCCAGAAAGCACGGTCATCATACACAAGATCTCTAGGAGCCAGCTCATTTGTACTTTGCACCCAATAAAAATCTAATGCTGAAAAAATGTCTCAGCAGCACTAAGATAAATAATGTTGCTTAACTGAGTACAAGGAGTCCTGTATTTTCAGAGCTCAGAAAAACACTTTAACAAAGACTGTGAAGCATCTGCTGCTGTATTTATTTTTTTTTGCAGGGGATGGATCTGCATGAGCTCTGAAAAACAAAAGCAGCATGCGACCCACCTAGGGACATCTGTCTGCTCTCTAGTCATGATTATTAAATAAAAGAGTGTTAGGAGTTTGAAGGCGAAGTTCAGCAAATCAGTGGGACAGGAGATCCAGCTGCCTTGGCTCTGCTGTTATAATTTTACATCAACAAGGGACGTGAAGGGGTGAATCACGGAGGTGACAGTTTACAGCAAAAGTCTGAGGAGAAAATCAGAATCTGAGAGTTTTCACAAACTGCTGTCAGGTGCCGTGGGAATCAGACTGGAAACACGCAGTAGGATGGCAGCAGATCCAGGCAAAGGAAGATTTAACTGTTAGAGATCTGTCTGGAAAGATCCTAAATAAAAGTAAAAGTTGGATTTTGCTGTTATTTTTCCCCATTTCTTTTCCAGGCTAACAATTAACAGAGAGCACCGGCTGGATGTGCTTTTGTACAAATGGATGGGTTTTTTCCTACATGTTTATTTATCTTTTTTTACTTTTAAATGAGTATCCACACACGCTTTGGTTGTCTCTGTGCTTCTCACAGGCTCCAATAAACCCAGGAAAGCAGCTTGGGCTGGGTTTATCCCCACGGCTGTTCCGGGGGCATCACCACCACACAACGTGCAAATGCTGCCAGCAACCGATTGCATTCAAGCACAATGATTGACTGCCTTTTGACTAATTCAGAGAAATTTGCCTTGTGATTTTCAGTCTTGAGGTCATTTTCAATGAAATTTAAATAAAAGACTCAATTTTCCAGTATCCTTTCAACTATGCCTTTAGACTTAGAATTACACGAGCCTGTGACAAGTCCTGTGTCCACTCTGATGTCCTGCTCAGGTATCCCTTTTCCAGTATCCTTTCAACTATGCCTTTAGACGAACAATTACACAAGTCTGTGTACACTCTGATGTCCTGCTCAGGTATCCCTCCTCAGGGCCCACCAGCTTTATTTGCCCAGGCAAAAGGACTAAATTGCAAAAACTAGGAAAACTGATAAAGTCTGCCTCAATTATAAACATTATCCAAAGATATCCTGATAAAGTCTGCCTCAATTATAAACATTATATTTAATCTCCAAAAATCCAAGAATCTCGAGTTTGTGTGTCTATCTGATCAAACAGCCAGGATGTTACCCATCTGGTTTAGTTTCTCTGTGAGACCCGTGAAGCCGGCAACCATCAGCAAGAGCAGCATTTCTAGATTCTACAAATATGCTCAGAAAATTTTAATTTATATTAAATCCAGAAGCACCCTTAATATCTTTTCTAGTTAGTGGCTGATTTTGCTAAAGGGACCGTATCAAACATTGCCTTTAATTTTCACAAACAGGAAATCTTTTACACATGAACAAGGAAGCTGGAGGCTTGTCCCAAACAAAAGGCACAATCTTCCAAGCCTCTGTCAGGTTTTTATTTTCCTGAAACCATAAATCAGCAAGCATGGATGACTGCATTTTACTAACTTCTTGCTTCAATTTACTGGACCCTAAGGGGAAAAGTGTAACAAAAGCTGCAATTAACACTTCAGCCCGATCCGATCCTCCGGGCCCTGGGCCAGCTGTGCCCACAGGCCCTGTGCTTTCTCAGGACACCTCATGGCCCTGATCTACAGATAATGGGGAAACCTGTCATACAGAGAAAAGCAGCAACAGGATCTGCTGTGCCAGGCACAGGGAATGCAGGGAACAGGAGGATACACTCTGCCCAGAACCAGCAGCTCCACCACAGATGCAAACAATAGGATGAAGATAAAAAATACTTTTGGAGTTGGACGTTTAAGGGGAAGTGAGAGTGGTCAGCCCCTCCTGGAAGCAGGGCATTTGCAGGAGGTGGTGTGTCTGTGCTTCCCATCACACTGGGGAAAATAAGAGGTTTTGGCATAAGAAGGTCCTTTCCCTGCTGGGTCTCTCCCCTCCCAGGAGAAAGACCAAAAGCCACTCGACTGATGGACTTTACTCGAGGTTTAAAGGAAGGCCACCCAACTATCTTCAAGCATAGGCCACCTATTTTTAGTACTTGAGACATACATACAGGTGTGTGGGCAAAATTCCAGCACAGTTCATTTCACAATTCCTTCTATCTGACAAAATGGGAGCTGATAATTCCAGAGAGTCCTCACCCGAGACTTGTACAGTTCTGATCCGGGAAGTAAAAGTTACTCAACAGCAGAAAACAGCTGCAGTGTTTTGGCAGAGATATGATCCCCTCATCTATTCAATGGCCCTTGGTGCAATTCTGAATTAATAAAAGTTTTACTACTGCAAACAGCACGTAAGAACATCTTTGGTAATGAGAATTCTAAATTTTTTTAAATTGCACTTTCAACAGCTAAAAGCCTTAACAGAGGGAATTCATGATAGGAACAACTGTAGATCATATTCTTTGATTCAAATCAAGTTTTCAATATTGAAAATGCACAAACAACTCAAATGACACCGTGGAATTACGACACTTGTGAAGAACAACCCCTGTGAGTGCTCTGAAAATTCATCACCAGGCAGTAAAGCTGACTGCACTGAGGAAGTGTCACCATCTAATGCTGCACAAATGCTCCAATTGCAGCTGCTAAACACAGCAAGAGATGGCTTCATTTCCAGACACACCAACTCCTCCAGCACCGTCCTTGGTGATGCTGATGCACACTAATTCTTGGTTACATATTCATTTAAGCATCTTCAAGGGCCATAAAATAAGAACAATAGTTCATTTCCAGATAAACATAACAACGCTGTTTTTGGAAACATTCAAAAAACAAACAACCCAAGCGATATGTGACTCCTGATACACCAGCTTATGGCGGACTTTGGTCCAGTTGCCAACTCAACCAGATTTACTTCCTTTTTGGAAAAAAACGTGATTGTAATTGCAGTCAGTCTTTCATAGTCACTGTCTGCTCAGAGGAAATGTCTCAACACTACACACAATCAAGAAGAAACTACGTGAGCAAACACTCATAGGTGCAGAAGCAGCAGGAACACTATCAGGACACAGGACTGTACAGAAAGTACCTTCAGATCCTTGTTTCAAAGGCACTGCTTCCGAGAGCAAAACCTTCACGTATGTAAGGGATCATTTTGCTTTTGAATTGGATTGTTTTCCAAGAATAACTGTCATTATTATCTATACTGAACAAGGGATTCAACTGAGAAAATATCAGACTTACCCGATGTAAACAATACAAGAGTTTCGGGTGAAAATACAGTTTGGGTACAGGCTGCTTATCAGTTATTGGACTTACTGTTTCCTTCCTTTTCAGAAATTCCATGAACCAACACCTGGATTCACCTTCTGAAGTTTTACTTTGCTTCCAAACTGCAATCCACCTGCAAATGCAAACGTCCAAACAACAGCAAGACCAATTTTGACCTCTTGCTCCTGAGTTGTTACCCCTCCAATGACTAGGTGAAAAATTTCATCTTTGACTTTCCACTTTGTTAGCCCGAAGTCTTGCATTTGCTAAAATCTACCTAAACCCAGTTTATATGCTGCACAAAACTTTCCCCAGGACTTTTTGCCATTAGCATTAGCTTCATGGTTAGACGGATTCCTAAAAAGCTAGTGTCTGGTTATGTGAAACTCCATCTTATTTCTGCAGGTGGTGCCAGAAAGTGGGCTTCAGATGGCCTCAAGTTTTTTCTCTTCTTGAAGAAACCAAGCAGCACATTTGCCACAACTTGTCAAGAAAAATAAACCAGAACCAAACTCATCACCTTCTGCATCCACCACAACACGGGGCCCTGTTACTTGAACCCAGCTGAACTTTCCACAGGCAGATGAGCAGATGACCTCCTTTTTTCCAGCCCAAGTTATTCTGTGACTTTACAGACTTAACAGTCTGTACTTTAGTGCTTAGTGACATGGTTTAGAGATGGCTTTTTATCAGAGTTAGGTTGATGGCTGGACTAGATGATCTTAAAGGTCCCTTCCAGCCTAGATAATTCTATGCTTCTATGAACAGAACAGAATCGCTGAATTGATGTGGTTTCAGTGCACTAGTTCTTCAGACTTACTTTTAAGAAGGGAAAGTCTCTCTCTCTCTCATGTAGGAACTTTTAAGAAGGGAAAGTCTCTCTCTCTCTCTCTCATGTAGGAAAACTAAAATAAATTAAAAACCAAGCTTAGAAGAGCTGAAATATCTTGGTACTGAGAACGAAGTGCTCTGCTGGACAACGTGCAAAGCTCTGCTGTACTTACACTTTCCGGGTTTTCAGGTTGACAAATCCATTTAAGCTTAATGAAAAGAGCACAGAAACTTCAAAGCAGGAAAGGAGCTATTAAAAATCATCTGACAAGAAGTGACACTTCATCTGCATCCACAGTATTTAATTTGTCTGAATAATATAGTTACAGATAAACAGGTTCACTCCATATACAATTACCGATACCTTTTTTTTAATACAGCTCATATTCCAGTACATCAACACTATTTTATTTACAAGGTATTTATGTACATTAACATCTTTCTAAAGTCAGTGCATTTTCAATAAGTTTTATACAATAATTTACAAAGTGAATGTAGTTAATAGTTAACTTAATAAATTTACTACTAATTCATGAATTAATTTAATTTAAAAAATTAATTACAACCAATGTAACAAACACAGAAGATCAAATAACATTAGTAGATTGTGCTACCTGCTTAAATAAAACATTTTAAAGTAAATCAGTTGAAAATCTTTCACTTTTCATGGAGTTTGCGTAGGGAGGAGTAGACAAATGGGTATCGAAAAAGCTTCTAACCTAGAAATTCACAAGTCATGTTTGCTTTTCTTCAGTCTTGATGTTTAGACCACTTTAAAGATAAAAGACCGTGGAGAACAGGGAGCAACACGTCACCAGGCAGAGAACACTTACTTTGGAACCGCTCTGCTGGCCCCAGAGAGGCACAACCTCCAGCAGAGGCAGGGAGGTTTTTGCCTGGGTAAAGACAGCCAGATCAGCCCAGAGAACTTCTGAAATGGATAAAACTCAGATATTTCTGGAAATTACAATCTCACTGGTAGGTTTGGCATTCTTGTAAAACACATTAAAATGAATCCAAACATCTGTTTCCGAGATCAACCGTGTAAGCATCCGTTTTGTTAGCGAAGATACGAAATGTAAAGAATTTGGAAGGTGACATATGACAAAATTAGGAAGCTGCTTAGACTCAGCTGAAGAACAAAAGGCCGAAAGAGTGAAACTTTTATCTTCATTCAGATACGCAAACAATTTAACACTGAAATTGTTTACAGAAATGCCTACTCAAAAAATAACCATCTTTTTTCCAGTCTCTGCTCAGTCTCAGCCATGCTTTCCTTCGTGCAATCAGCCCACTGACTTAAAAGAGCATGTTGCAAGGGCACGGAAAGCAATTCTGGTTTAACTGCAAGTATATGCATAACCCATTGCGAAAAAAAAAAAAAAAACCCAAGAAAATTTGAAAAGGCAACCAAATTTTGAAAATAAGAAACTCCATTAAATCATGAAACCGATAAAAAAACCCCTCATCCATGAATGCTACGATAGCTACCTGACAGCCACAGCTTCTTATTTGTTTGAAATACACAGTGGATAATTCACAGCCATTCACTCCAGAGCCCTTACAACAACAAAAACAAACTATGTTTTTGAATTTAATTCTAGGAATTTTCAAAAAGTGCAAATTTAAAAGCAACACCAGTCATGAAACATAAGCTCAAGCATCTTTCCTTCCAAAAGCTGGGAACTTTTTGTGCAATGTGCACATTTTAAGACACCGCGCGTGCAATCGCAACTATTCTCTTCAACCTGAAGCTTCTTCTGGAGGCATCTCTGAAGGTTGAGATAGCGCCCTTCAGGCAGAAAAGCCATTCCTGAAACATGTTGATCTGCACAGCCAACACGTGGAGAAAACACAATTATAATCAACCATTCGAGTGTAGAAATTAATCTCTTCTCTAATTATGATTTGGTTGTGCTCCCAACATACAGAAAGAAAGCAACTGACACGCGTTAGTGGTGGCAAAACTGGAAACTTCTCTTACTCTTGATGATAATTCTTTAAGTTTGTGCACTTTTCATTCTCTTGCTTTCCCTGTTTTGCCAATAAAATGCAATAAAACTGCAGGAAAAAGGAGGTAGCAATATCATGTTGTCCAGAGACAACACTACGATTTTTTTTTCCCCATTATCTTAAACCTAAAGAGAGCCTTAGGGGTTTGTTAGAACAGTTGGTAAACTCTACACTACTCTGTTTAGCTCTTACCTGGACTATTTAATTTAGCTCTTATTTGGTCCTAGTCGGCTTTTCTCAAACCATTTTATTTAAAGGCCAATGGCAGTCTCAGCCTGATGTCTAACATCAGAAATGTTTAGAGCATGTAGTGAGATAACAGAACAAAACAATACTATCTTTATATTAACTGCTATTTAATTAGGGTTTTCTTTTTGTGCTTTCAGGTCACAGGGGACAATAACTACACTGAAGTTATCTGTTTCAAGAACATTTTTGCCAAATGTAAGTCTCAGGCTGTTTTCCCTCCCGTTCTCAGAACAGTCGGTGGAAGATCACCTGCTTACTGTAAAACACAGTATTTCTTATAATCCGACTCAAAATCCTCATCCATGCTGCTTGTGTCTGCCATCTTTTTGCCGTCTATCTTTGGCAGAAATTGTGCATAGTCCACCCCCTGCTGCTCGTAGAAGAGAATGTAGGCAGAGTCGGTGTCGATCTCATCGGGATGCAATTCCTGAGAAAGAGAAAAACAGGGTGGGCAAGGTGCAACGGGGCAATTGTGTTACTGTCACTAAACTTAAAACACACACGACTGCCCCAGAAACAGGATTTTTAACTGGCCGTTCACAACAAGAAGAATCGCATTTTCTGTCTCCTTTATTATAGTTATCAAGCTCCATTATTCACTTAAAAAGTATGACAAATTTTAGAGCGATAAATGCAAATACTCAGAAATGCTTGAGCTTGATTATTCAGTAATTGACTACAAAACTGTTAGCATCATGAAAAAATATTCTTGGACTTCCATTTTTAGTAAATTTTCCATCTTTGTGCAAAAAAAGCATCTTTCCTTAACCATGGTAGCAGCTGCTGAACAGATGTTAACTTGAAAAAAAATCCCATGTACAATTTCAGTTAACAATTTTAATATTTATCCGATGCAACTTTTGAGATGCTCATGATTTCAAAGAACAGGTCACACCAAATGTACATCTCTTTGGCTCTGGGTAACCAAGATAAGATAAAAAATGATTTGCTACAAAACTAAATGGTTTACCTTACAGCTGCTGTCGTTGTAGCAGTACCACTTGTTGTTCGGGTTTTTGGCATAAGTGACATAATGACCCCCTCCCATAATTCCTGAATGGCACTGAAGAAAACAAAGAAGAAAATAAACTCTGGATCAAACATCAAACTGCAGAATTCACAGAATAAATGATTCACAAATTCATGATTTTTCAGCGAGTGACAATGGCTGATGACAATCTATCCACCTGGAGCTGACTAAGCTTATACACTCAAGCAGAACATGCATTATGCAGAGATGTACTTTTCAGTTGTACTCAGTTTTATGGCAAATTTATTTTGCTGACAACAGCTCTACTTTGTTCTCCTTGATGGGTCCCTACTTTTTGTAATGAAAACAACAGAGCAAATGCATTTAGTGAAAACAATGCCACATCAAGACTGTTTACATGGATAAAAAGTCAACTTACCGAGATTGCATATAGATTGTAAATAGGGTTAACACATACTTCTTCTCTTTGGTCATCTGCAATATCATCCTCGCTGTGGTTATCCATTTGGCCGTTGATGCTGCCATTGCTATAGGCGTTCTGCTCACAGATGTACCCGTTGGCCAGAGTCACCTCACTGTCCTGAGCAGTGTCCAGGTCACTCTGGCTGCCACCCAACATCTGCCCTCTCGTAAGACCATCACCTTGATCAGAAGTCAGTCTCTGGTCCTGGTCAGTACCGTTCTCTTTACTTGCATCCAAATTTTCTTTGCTACTTGACAGTTTGTTTTTCCCCAGTTGCGGTAGCCGCAGACGCCCTTTACCTCTTCCTAAAGTCCTTGGGCTACTATTTGGGCTACTGTTTTTACTTGAAGGGCAGCTGGTTCCGCTTTTCCTTCCCAAAGACGGAGATGCTAAAAGAGAAAACATGTGGACTACTAAGATAAGTAAACACATAGTGTAGATTTTTTAAAAAATACCATTTCACTGCAAGAAATGAGTAGAATCTAAAAGTAAAGCTACCTTTGTGTATGCACATGCGTATACATATAAACTGAAATTTAACCATTTTATGCAGGGGCACATTCCTGACTCTAAACCCAGCCCAGCTACACAAGCAGACAGTGCCAATAGCTGTTGTCACCTAGTAACTTTTTGTCTTTTTTCTTTTATTGTAAAGCTTCACTAAGCTTTCCAGGCAAACAACAACAGAAATGCGTGTTTCAAAATAAATGAAATAAACGCAAAAATACATGTTTCTTTGGCCAAAGAAACATTGATGTTTTGTTCATAATATAAATTATTTTTCCTCCCTCCAAATATCAATATTGACTGAAATTTCCCCTAATTATTACCTACCTTTGATATTATTCAAGACAGTAGTGTTAAGGGAGGAGGGACTCCTGTTGAGGGTGTCTCCTTCTCCCGGTGTGTACGTGATCTGCAGGTCGATTTTCCTTGACTCGCCCTGGAGAGCCCGTGGCTCGGGGAGGCTGTCGCTCTGCAGCGTCAGCTGCTTCCTCTGAAAATGACTTGGATCCCTTTGTACCAAAAAGGCACTTGGGTCAAAATTTTCTCTGGGAAATTTCACAATTTTCTGAGATTTTATCCAACGGCCGTTAACGAACTGAAATCTCTTCAGGTGAATGATCTAAAGAGAAACATGTTTGAGAAGATTAAAGGAGGACAATGACACTGCAGTGAGTAATTTCACTGGTTAGAAGTAATTTTTCCCCAAACATGCACATTTTATCATATACAAATATAAATAGTAACAGTGCTGTAATGTGACAATTGGGATTTTGGGATCAAGCTGGTAAAATACGGAACTAACGTTTTCATAGGGAAATGATGGAAAAAGGCTGCTTCAATTCCACGATCAGTGCTGTGTGTTCTCAATAATCTAACAAATTTGCAAAGTGACAAATGCAGGTGTTGCACAACGAGACAAAAGATCACGTTACCGGAAAGACTGTCTAAGTGTGAATTCTGTGCCAGAACAGATGACAGTGAATGCAAAACACCACCATTTCCTGCAATGTATCAGCTAAAAAGATTCAAAAGGATTTGAGATTTGTTTTATTTGCCTGTGTTACAGAAACGTATGAAGCAAACTAAGTCGATGTCCCTCCTGAGACTGTGAAGAAAAGCAAATCTTCTTATTCAGCTCAAGGAGACATTGAAATTTGTGATCGATATACTTTGGTTTTGCTGCTGCAGGGAAAACGACACAAGAACATACCAAAATAGGGGGAAGTCTCCAAAGATCCAGTTTTTTGGTGGCCAAGCAATGGATCTTGCATTTGGAACAGTAGTACATCTCATCCTCCCCCAGCTCTTCCTCACTGGTGAAGGCTCTAAGACAACTGTCCAGATTGATGGGCTCTGCTTGAGCTCGCCGGCTTTGCTCCACGCTTTCATGTTCTTCTACAATCTGAAGTGAGAGAAAGCTGTATCTGACTTGGAATCACACACAAACTGCTCAGAGGAAGGCTCTAGTCACAGTATCGTACAAATAACATCATATAGTTATTTAGGATTAAAGATAAGGACTAGATGCACTGAGTTTTAGCAGAAATCTTATTTCAGTTATGAAGAGGCAGACACACAAATAATGTACTGTCCTTATTCTTGGGTTCTGCTTAAAAATTATCCATAAAGCACAAGTTTATAGATTCAGCTCACAGGTTTGAACAGCTATTCCAGATTAACTCAGCTAGAGGCTTACCTTTAGATATGTTTTGTTGACTCAATGAGGAATTACATAGTCTATAATAGATTTTGGAGGCCAGATCAAAAGCAACTCACAACAGACAGAAAATGCACTGCTGTGGTTTCTTAAAAGCTTCCCTTCCACGTTACGGTCACGTAAAAGGTCTAACATTAAGACATTAATTTATCCAGAATATACTGTTCAATAATTACTGACTTTAACAGAAAATGGATTACTTGCATCCAAATTTTCTTTGCTACTTGACAGTTTGTTTTTCCCCAGTTGCGGTAGCCGCAGACGCCCTTTACCTCTTCCTAAAGTCCTTGGGCTACTATTTGGGCTACTGTTTTTACTTGAAGGGCAGCTGGTTCCGCTTTTCCTTCCCAAAGACGGAGATGCTAAGAGAGAAAACATGTGGACTACTAAGATAAGTAAACACATAGTGTAGATTTTTTAAAAAATACCATTTCACTGCAAGAAATGAGTAGAATCTAAAAGTAAAGCTACCTTTGTGTATGCACATGCGTATACATATAAACTGAAATTTAACCATTTTATGCAGGGGCACATTCCTGACTCTAAACCCAGCCCAGCTACACAAGCAGACAGTGCCAATAGCTGTTGTCACCTAGTAACTTTTTGTCTTTTTTCTTTTATTGTAAAGCTTCACTAAGCTTTCCAGGCAAACAACAACAGAAATGCGTGTTTCAAAATAAATGAAATAAACGCAAAAATACATGTTTCTTTGGCCAAAGAAACATTGATGTTTTGTTCATAATATAAATTATTTTTCCTCCCTCCAAATATCAATATTGACTGAAATTTCCCCTAATTATTACCTACCTTTGATATTATTCAAGACAGTAGTGTTAAGGGAGGAGGGACTCCTGTTGAGGGTGTCTCCTTCTCCCGGTGTGTACGTGATCTGCAGGTCGATTTTCCTTGACTCGCCCTGGAGAGCCCGTGGCTCGGGGAGGCTGTCGCTCTGCAGCGTCAGCTGCTTCCTCTGAAAATGACTTGGATCCCTTTGTACCAAAAAGGCACTTGGGTCAAAATTTTCTCTGGGAAATTTCACAATTTTCTGAGATTTTATCCAACGGCCGTTAACGAACTGAAATCTCTTCAGGTGAATGATCTAAAGAGAAACATGTTTGAGAAGATTAAAGGAGGACAATGACACTGCAGTGAGTAATTTCACTGGTTAGAAGTAATTTTTCCCCAAACATGCACATTTTATCATATACAAATATAAATAGTAACAGTGCTGTAATGTGACAATTGGGATTTTGGGATCAAGCTGGTAAAATACGGAACTAACGTTTTCATAGGGAAATGATGGAAAAAGGCTGCTTCAATTCCACGATCAGTGCTGTGTGTTCTCAATAATCTAACAAATTTGCAAAGTGACAAATGCAGGTGTTGCACAACGAGACAAAAGATCACGTTACCGGAAAGACTGTCTAAGTGTGAATTCTGTGTCAGAACAGATGACAACGAATGCAAAACACCACCATTTCCTGCAATGTATCAGCTAAAAAGATTCAAAAGGATTTGAGGTTTGTTTTATTTGCCTGTGTTACAGAAACGTATGAAGCAAACTAAGTCGATGTCCCTCCTGAGACTGTGAAGAAAAGCAAATCTTATTCAGCTCAAGGAGACATTGAAATTTGTGATCGATATACTTTGGTTTTGCTGCTGCAGGGAAAACGACACAAGAACATACCAAAATAGGGGGAAGTCTCCAAAGATCCAGTTTTTTGGTGGCCAAGCAATGGATCTTGCATTTGGAACAGTAGTACATCTCATCCTCCCCCAGCTCTTCCTCACTGGTGAAGGCTCTAAGACAACTGTCCAGATTGATGGGCTCTGCTTGAGCTCGCCGGCTTTGCTCCACGCTTTCATGTTCTTCTACAATCTGAAGTGAGAGAAAGCTGTATCTGACTTGGAATCACACACAAACTGCTCAGAGGAAGGCTCTAGTCACAGTATCGTACAAATAACATCATATAGTTATTTAGGATTAAAGATAAGGACTAGATGCACTGAGTTTTAGCAGAAATCTTATTTCAGTTATGAAGAGGCAGACACACAAATAATGTAAAAAAAAAAAAGGGTGAAATGGGTTGTGCCTCAGAGCTATTAGCAAACAACAAAGGGTTTGTGTTGATATCTTACCCGTTCTTGCGACGTCTGGTAGCGCAGATGGAGGGCTGTTGGATCCCAGTCCACGGCAATGTAAGCGTTCCCAACGCAAGCTCTGTCTTCTGTGCATTCAATTTTACAGCCGCGGCAAAATCTAAACGAAAACGTTAGCTGTGGTAAGGAAACTGCCCAATCACTTAGTTTTACATCGCTTCACATTCGACAAAAGCAGCATCAAATTAAAAAAAAAAAGGGGTGAAATGGGTTGTGCCTCAGAGCTATTAGCAAACAACAAAGGGTTTGTGTTGATATCTTACCCGTTCTTGCGACGTCTGGTAGCGCAGATGGAGGGCTGTTGGATCCCAGTCCACGGCAATGTAAGCGTTCCCAACGCAAGCTCTGTCTTCTGTGCATTCAATTTTACAGCCGCGGCAAAATCTAAACAAAAACGTTAGCTGTGGTAAGAAAACTGCCCAATAACTTCGTTTTACATCGCTTCACATTTCAGTTCTGCCCCTTGTTTTGTAACATCTGCACCCTCAAGGTTTCAGGCCTTGCCTTCAGTGTAAAACAGAGATATTTTTATAAAACAATAATCCTGTCGGTTTGCTATTTTACTACAAACTTTAATAGAGATGAGAAATTGAAGCAGTTGGGTGAAATCAACCATCTACCTGCATATAATGCTGCCCAAGCCTATCTACGACACCAAAAAACCACAACGCTTTGTCTCCACAAGTATTTTACAACATGACAGCTAATGGACTTTATCCATCTAGTTCTAAGAGACTTTTTTAAAAAATGAGTATACTGCCTGAATACCTTCCAGCAAAGGGTCTGAAATTTTCATTAGCACCTCTTTGTTCAGGGAAAATTCCAAGTGTGCATCCAGGGGGAATTTCTTATTGCCCACTTTAGTTCTTACCCTTCAAATGGCACAGGAACGAACCAGGGTAGATGATTTGCATCTAAAAGTTTGGGTTTGTATGAAAACCCCCACAAATAATCCAGAAATGTATGCATGTGCCTGCATTTATACACACACAGAATACTGAAGGAGGTGAAGAGGTTTTTGCTGTTCTACAGGGACTGTCTGCCACGTGAGGGCTTGGGTTCAATCAGATTCTGGATTCTTATTGTTTGATATTACCTCTGAAGATTGAAACGTATCAAAAACGCGTTACCATAAATTCCATTTCTGCTGGAGTTGAGTCCCTTCCTTAAATCTCAAAAGGACAATTTACCTGTACCATGGACACCACGCACAAGAGTTTCCATCCTTCTGAACCACCCTGAGGGTGAAGGGGTACTGGTAACCCATGCTGTCGTCACTGCAACGCAAGAGAAGGCACCATGAGACACATTCAGATACCAGCTACCTTCCTTCACTGTGCTTACTGTGGTTGTTTACTTTAAAAACCACAACAAAACCCCCATCAGACCTATAATTTTGATCAGATTAAGCTATTTAAACAAGACCCACCTTTCCACTGCCTGAATTTGTCAGATATAATTAATTATCAATCAATGGATGAAACCGAATCAACCAATTAGTGCAGAGCCAACCTTTAAGAGCAGCTAGAAGGTAGAGACCACATTTAACTGTATTAAAAAGGACTAGAATTTATTTTTAATTATTGCCATTATTAAATCGCCGGACTCTAAAACGACTTCTTACAAAAATAACCCACTAAATGGAATCTGCAGGCAGAAAGCATTTGGGGTAAAAGCGCACACAAAGTTGTTGACATTTGAGGCTTAATTATACATGAAAAAGCACATGTTCATTCAACAGAGGTATTATGAGAAATCAAAACGATAAAGATGAAGATTAATAGAGTTTTAAATCTCCTAAGGAAGTCTACGCGACGGTTTTATGTCATTCAAGGAGTGAGATCCAGCCTCACCAGTCCTGTGCGTGGTTACTGGCCTCCTGGGGCGGGAGGGGACTGGCCAGTCTGGAAACCTGGATCCACACGGCATCATACAGGTCTTTCTTCCGTGTATGAACCGTACAGGGCACAATGAGTGGCATCCCAAAGAGACTGGGGCGGTTCTTCTGAGACGACAGAAAATACAATTCTGTCCGCATCTGCGTGTGTGAAATAAAAGAATGACTCAGATACAAGCGTGCATTAACTCACCACAATGACAGGATGCTGACCTTCTTACTTATTGCAGGCTTTGGCAATTAAAAGAAACCCTTAATTCTATTAAAAGTACTCCATTTCAGCCATTTTCCAGTATTAAATGCTGTAAATTTTGATCACTGAAATTGCTTTTAAACTTTTTGCATTTTATGTTATTATGGCAACATTACTCAGGCATCAGACCCCATCGGCACAAATCGGTATTTCAACCACATACAATATTTGATATTTCATATGACACATATTTCTTACTTTTCCCACCACACAGTAATACTGTAATGCAGCCATGCACCTCATACCTGTCCCAAAATCACCTCTACACTAGGAGAGCTTATGTTTGCAACAGAAAGAAAACCTTTATGTCTAAAGGAGGCACTACAGAGTCATACACAACTTATTCCAGGAGGACAAACTAACTTTTGTGCTACATCTCCCATTTATAAGGAAGATTTAATGTGTTGACTTAATGCCACTGAGGTACAGCAAGTGGCTATTCCATTGTGTAAGTTTTACACAATTAACTCTTTCCATTGATAAGATTTTTGACAACGACAAGTGTGGATTCTTGGAATAGCTTCCACAAACCACTCTTCCTGGTTTTTAAACTGTCTAACCAGCAGCTTGGAGCGGCTCAAAAGCTTGATACCCATCACCCACGAGATTCTGCAAAACCTGGATCAGGGTAACAGCGATGACAGTGGTTTGTGGCCTCTACTTGAGAGAATAGAGCAAAAAAGCCTCATGCACACACAGAGTGAAGAGGGGAGATGAGATAAATGCTCTCCTGGCCCACATCCACCAGGCTCCAAACATCAACAGACTCCACAGACTCCTGGACACAGCGCACACCAAACGCGCGGTGATTTGAGGGGCTCAGTCACCAGCTTTGACATTTAAAGTTCAGTGTAACTACAGATGCTTTTACGGAGCAGTTCAGGCCAACAGATCGACCCAGGAATGCACTGTATCTCTTCACTCTGTTTCCGTATAAGAAATAAAGCTTTTCCACATAATGGGAAAGAAATGTATTTCTAGTAGCTCCTCTAATTAGAATTTTTTCTGCTCAAAGAAACTGGAACATTTAATCAGGGAGGTAGCGAACGCCCAAGTGTGCATCTTGGCATTTAAGAACTGGGAAGCGTGCCAGTACTAAAGGAAGAAAAATACACCAACATTAGACATTATGATTTAAATTTGCAAGAGTTGTGTTTCTGTAGACCTTGGTGCTTGCTTAAGAGAGAAATGTATTCAAAGCTCCCGCTTCTAAAGAAATAAAGATAAATTTATTATATGAACGTTAAAAAAATCCTCGCTGACTCTCTCTCAAAGCGAAGATTTTACACACATGAAGAATTTCTAACAAATGCAGAATCTACTAACCATTTTTCTGTGGACTGCGATGATGTACCCCGTGCAGGGACTGTCGGAGAGCAATGGCACGTGACCGTTGAGAGTCCAGCTGGGAAGGGTTCGCTCCGTCCCACATGGCACCACAGTATTTGGCATCCCATTTGGGATGAGGGTTGGCTTTGGGAGGTCCCCGTTCATCATTATGGTGGGTGCTCCATTAGCTGATGGCCCAGTCGAGACCTCTGTAGACACACAATTGCTTTCTCAATTATCTACAGCAACCAGAACCGAGCACAAGATTTTTATCCTTTCTATTCTGCTCCATGCATTTCATGAAATATCTTCTACTCTCCTTAAGACCCACCTTAGGTCCAACCTTCTATTTGCCCACAACTTTGCAAAATCAGAGGATGCAACAGCAAGGAATAACAGAGGTGTTTACAACCCCTACAAGAAACTTCAAACAATAAAACCAAAACCCAACACCACTCTTCCAATCTTTTACGTGTCCTGCCTTAGAGCCAACCCACAAGTAATGAATATTTTGTGTATTTCTTGTGTCTCTAACTAAAATGAACCCTATCCTGGGCATCATTCCTAAAAGGACCACCAGCCATCAGTAGATGGTGAGACTGCTCACAGCTTCTCTGTGGATCAGAATTCAACTTAGTTGTATTTAGTGCTCACTGTTTCCTTATTACTAAGAAGTGAGGTGTTCTCCTGGATTTCTCCAGTACCTAAGCACTGTACATTTTAAATGAAGAGGAAAATAAATATGTTTTCTTTTACCTGTCTGCACAGGACTTGATGCCGATGTAGGGGATCCTGGAATTGGTATTTCAAATGCACACAAACACCCACTCACTGACAACCGGACTTTCTGGTTGTCTTGAGGAAAGTTCTTCATAAAAAAGGGAAAGTTAGTCAGACTTTGATATACTTCTGCCTGTGACTCCAAACATGCAAACAGTGAATCTATCAGCTCATCTCTCCCTCCCATCTACCTCCTTACACCTTTCCAGAAGGTAAAAAAGAAGCCAACAAGCACATCCCAGCAGCAAGACCTAAGAATTATTAATGGTTCTCTAAACGGACTGAGAGCACCCAGTTTTAATCCTATTCAAGGACAGCAAAAAAAATTATATATATATACACCTATACATACACAGTATATAGAACTAAGCCAGTCATTACTTATGCCTCCAACGTCTTGACAGTGTTTAAACTCATCAGAGCACTCTAACTTGAGATTTATTACCTCAAGATGATTTTATCTTTTTTTTTTTCCTAAAAATATCATTAGTAATCAATTCAATTAAATTTCTGCAAGCTTCTACTTCACTATTAATTTTGTTTACAAGTGGTTTATTTTGGTTTGGTTTACTTTGATTTTAAATCTATTTAAAGCAAGCCAAATTACAGTTTAAGAACAAAATAAAACTGTAACTAAGCTGAGTTTTTAATCATACTTTTAGTTACATTATTTCACAGTTCTTGTAAGCAAAGCTTAATGTCAAAAAGAATGAAGCAGTACTGCAACGTACACAAATAACCAACAAAAATACCAAGCATATGTTGAAGAAATGATTAATTCTTTTTGTTCTTACCTTTATATTGGAGCTATGAACTTCTGCAAGTAGGATCTGTTCTGGTTTCAGCCCACAGAGCTCACTTAACTGTTTTTTCAAGCCTGTGTACTTCTCATCCATGTTCAATCTCAGGCCATATCGAACCGGAGTAGTACCATCTAATTTAATGACTTTAAAGGGGAAAAGAAACACCCTGGTCAGCAAATCAGGAAAGTTTTAATAAGAATAATACACTACAGCTACTTACTTATTCGAAAGTATTTTTCCCCATTTGGAGATATGATTATTTTTTTTTACCAGTCTTTTACCATTTTCAAGGTCTGCAGACAAGTGTCAGAAAATCTCTTGCTGCATAAGCAGTAGGAAATGGTTTCAAAATTTGTTTCGCTTTTTAATCATCTTTCCTTTTGCCTCTTTTCCAACAATACATGGGTCCTTCATAGTGCAGCTCATGTCCCATACAGTATTTTCTGCCTGTACACTCCCCCCAGCCCTCCTCTTTGGCTCTAGGCAGATTTAGGGCACCCTCCACAACACATGGAACAGAAGAAAAGTTCCCAGAATCTCCATTTTATATGTTTCTGAACTAAGTCCTTTAGTCAAGACTGAAAATGGGCCATCTGTGCTCTGTTTTTAAAGATTTTATTTCAGTTTAATTGTATTCCACTGAAAATTCTTGTACTCTATTATATTAAAATGGTTATACTATTTTAAAATGTAAGTGCTAACACAAAATCTGGATGTTTAATAGCTGTTCCACAGATACAATTTTGATTTGAGCAATGACAAGCTTATATGGAGTTAAACCCAACCACTCACCTGTAATTTCTAGGTGCATGTAGCTATCCATTGGCAAAGGCAAGGACAAAAAATTAAAAGGGTCAAATCTAACACTTATATGTCCACAAGTTTTACATTTTACTTGTGACTTCAGCTGCCCATGAAATAAATCTACAACAATGGATCTGTTTCTTCTCAGATGGTTTTCCCAGGCCTAAAACAAAATAGAAAAAAAAACAATACAGAGTTAGAAACTGAAGACTCCTTGCTTCAACCACAGGAAAGAGGATATGCTGCAAGGCCTCCAAAGTTTCATTGGCCTATGGAAGTCAAATTATTTCCACAGAAGTTGTTCACCAATTTCAAATAAATAGGAAGCATTTAGCTTCAACCCGAGTAAAGAAGAGTTATTTCAATTAACACAATAATCAAGGTATGACATCATTTAAAGTACTTCAGAAAGGATCATCAGATATCTTGAAAAATTGCGATACTCCGTAATTCTGAGGAGCTGTTCAAACTGGCTGTGAAGTATCATCTTTACACCTTTATTATAATACTTAAAACTCATTTTCAGTTCAAAGGTGAACTTGGCTCCTTAAATCCCAGATCTAACAAAAGTTCTAAGAGATGGTCCAGCCCTGGAGGGGTATTGCCACAGACAGTCTCATCAACAACTCAGCAGCTTAGGTCTATTAAGGGGAAAAAACCCAACGAAAAAACCCAAAACCCCCCGTACCTCTGCCGCTACCTCCCAGTCTGGCCGACCATCACTGTCTTTCAGTTCAACATATGGCTTATCATGAACTCTGTTCAAATCCTCATGAAGACCATCCAAAAGAAATGCCAGAAGCTCCTGTGAGTCTTGCTGTTGAAAGCCATTAAATCTCGGAGCGTATTTTGCTATTGTCCACTATGAAAAAAGACAGAAAGTTATTTAACATCGTGTAACAAAAGCTGTAACAATAAATCAAAATATTGGAGACAAGAAGCATGCTGTCAATGAGCACTAATTCAGTTGCCAAGGGTTAAAGGTAACCCCCTGTACTTTCAGAACAAAAACCATTTGCAGGCAAATGCATAATCTTTTGACCCTAACAAAGACTATAAAAGGCCTCATCTTATACCAGAACCTCTGATTCATATCGAGTAACTCCTTTGACTTTACAGCCACTGAACCATGATCATGTTCCACAGAAAACTGCTCAACCTCCCCCTGTACTTTCAGAACAAAAACCATTTGCAGGCAAATGCATAATCTTTTGACCCTAACAAAGACTATAAAAAGCCTCATCTTATACCAGAACCTCTGATTCATATCGAGTAACTCCTTTGACCTTACAGCCACTGAACCATGATTATATTCCACAGAAAACTGCTCAGCCCTGCCCTCCTCCAGATGTGCACCCTGCCCCCCTCCAGATGTGCACCCTGCCCCTGCAGCCCCTTCCCCAGCACCTCCCCTGCATCCCCACAGGCCAGAAAGCAATTTCTGTGACCAGTTTGGAGTAACAGACGTGATGACAGAAGGACCGATTGCCCAGGGTATGGTCAGTGGCTTCCCAGCCACCTTCTAGCACATGAAATATATGCCCACGTTTCCCTTTCTCCAGGGGAGATACTGATTTGAGTCCCAGAACCATAATAATACAGGTAACATCAGGAAAAAATGCACTGAAAGATTTCTGCTATTCACAGAAACTCTTGCTTTCTACCTTTAAATAACACACCACAGACTTACCCGCAGCTTTAACGGTGCTATATTCTTCTGAGTTCCACTCCACAGCTCCTGCACCAAATCCCCATAGCACTTGGCCATGTGTCCTTTCATTCCTATTGGATTTGTCCTAGAAATCATAAATTAATTAATACCATACTAAAATTTAAACAAAGTTCAAACACGGGGATGAACAAGGAAGCGCAAAGGCTTCTTGCTGAACTGTTTTAAAAGAGGTTCTACTTTCAATTACCTAATCTAGTACCTGCTGCAGAGCTGATGGTTCACACTGAAGTTAAAAGGATTTATTCATGCTGTCTATTTCTGAAAGCTGAAACTCATCTTAAAGAAATGTTACCACATCTAAAACACCAGTGGTCTCAAACAGAAAATTACCTGTTAAGTTCATAAAGATGTCTTCCTGAGATGAAATAGCGCGTCAGAGGCTGCGTGTTACTGACACACTGGATGCTGGAGTTCATGAAGCACGTGTTCCCCAGATTGCTTAGTCCAGTAGCACCCTTCTCAGTAGGAACTGAGATCGAGAAAGCAGAATTGTATCAGTTGTGAAAAATTCAGGATGGGGTATCAGTGAAATTAAGAACACGACCATTTCACAGTAACCAGTTTAACCTGTTCCCAAACACGAGACCAGAGCTCACAGAGATGCACCAGAACAGTCTCTTCAAAACTTCAGTGAACAGCAATTGAGGTATTTTATTGGATCTGATCCACCACAGACATCACTACAATCCACACAAACTATTTGCAGGTAAATAATTATGGGACTGAAATTTATGGTACTGAAATTACTTTGTTAAAATCTTAACTATTCCTTATCTTAAAAAAAAAAACAAGATAGTAAACGCAAAATTCAGATTTTGCTATGAACCGTTTGCTACTGCTGCATCTGAACATCTACAAATTTATCTCTCTGTACATCCCACACTCCCACATTTCCAACATCTCAGTTACCAAAACAGAAAGCACAAGCAAAGCAGCAGAGGCATAAAAGACCTCTGTCAGTGATAGGAGCACTTATATTAAAAAGAATTGTTTCAGCATAATAAGCCTCTTGGATTTTGCTTCTCATCATAACACAATTACTGTGCTGAAACACTTACCTTTGTGTCTGTCTATTTTACTGCTGTTCGCTATAAAAGACATCTCTTCTGGCCAGCTCATGTCTTTGTTTCGAACTACAAAGAGATATGGTACAAGGGTTTTTTAAAATTGTTCATTACTTAATCCAGAAAGCTTATACAACTTGAAGAGGTTTCATTAAAATTCTCTAACAGTTAATTGAGATTAGAAATTTGCTTGTTTATAGTTATTATTTGTGCTAGTTTTCATTTCAATGTTTCCAATCATTATGGGAAATCCTTCAAATGCTGGCATCACTCCAACCATGCAAGTGACATCTTTAGAACACATCCTTGAGATTTCTTTCCTGTTGGATAACAAATTTTTCAGTACTTATTAATACTTAATAAGGATCCCCCAGCTAAAACAAATCTGTTCACTTCATGAGCAATCACTAATATATACAATGAAAAATTCAAGTGCGTTTTGAAATGGGGACAAATTACATGTATTTCAAGATAAAGTGGGATAGAACCCCACAAGCTTTCCTAAACTGGTTTTACCAGTGACTCCCCACAGGACTCCTGTTCAGCCTCTCTCTTGCACTGGCACCAGCCAAACAGCAAATTGGTTTGAGGAAGGGGGCTGGCTGAAAAGAGGGAGTTATTTTTTATTGAACTACACCGTTTTTTTATTGAACTACAGCCTCAGGGCCCTGTTTCACCTGACACAGCAAGGTGCAGTCCCTCTCCCCTCTACCAATAAATTCCCATTTCTCCTCCTGTCTCTAGTGATTAATGCAGATACAGTGAACTTCATCGGCCATTCTGCCCATTTTAAATTGATTAAACACGAGCTGAGCCAAGGGGCAAAGAGGATGAGTCCATCTAACACAATGCAACCCAGGTTTCTACAAAGCCTCTGTGATGCAAGGACAAGAGTAGAGTGGATCAAGTACGTACACTTCTGTTTCTCTCATTATAAAGTTAGCCAAAATGGTCAACTTAGTTGAAAATTCAGCTGATCTGTGCACCCTGATACCTCTGAGAAAGGTTTAATGTATTTGTGACCGAGAGCAGCGCCCAACGTGGCAGGAGGAGACACACAAGGGACACAGACTGAAACAAGAAAGGCTGAGATTGCTTATGATGCCTTTTCGGCACGAGGAGAGTGAGTCCAGCAGGCAAGGCCAAACAGTTCTCTCCAGATGTGAAAATAAAAACAGCTTGTAATGAAAATCTTAGAAATGAACCTGACGTGGACTGAAACATGCAGTTTTCTGCCCCTTTTGCTTTGTGACTACGAATGTGTCCAGGCAAATATCAAAACCTAAACTCGTGGAGAATTAGTGAAAGAAAAATCAGATCATGAAAAAGCCTCAGGTGCCTCACACTGCTTCTGTTAAATCTCTGGTATTTTAGTTATTACTGTAGGGCCAGTGGATTATTTGACAATTTGGTATTTCTTCCTGTGCTTCTTTTAATATATACATATATAGAGACAGACATCTATTTACACATACTGTTCCTTCTCATTTTTAAAAAAAATATGTTTGGGTAGTAGGCCCATATATATGTGTAGTTCGAGCAATTACAGAAATGGGTACTACATACCATTTATTAACCATATATATACTTACATAAAACTATTCTTTTTTAGTGTGTAAAGCAATTATAAGGCCCTTTTCATACCTTCTATTACTAAATGCTGCTCATCTTGGATTTTAAGATACTCCAGTCTGTGATCTTCATCATCCAGCAAGGTAAGATAGTTCTGCAGGAGAAAAAATACCTCATGTAGTTATCAATTCTAGATTTGAAATTCTCTGAGGATATTTCACTCTCTAAACAATTAAATTAAAACAGTATTACCAATTTCTTCCCAAAAATGAAAGCACCAGTTTCCTACCTATGCAATTTAAATACAGTAGTTCACTGATCTCCAGAAGCATCTAATTTAGTGCTTCAAATTTTACGTGGTATTTCTTTAAAATGAGAGAATTACATGGACTGAATGATTTGGAGGAATATATTCTGCTTTTTCACTGTGATTTGTTCACATACACTTTTGGAAACAGTAGTTCACTGATCTCCAGAAGCATCTAATTTAGTGCTTCAAATTTTACGTGGTATTTCTTTAAAATGAGAGAATTACATGGACTGAATGATTTGGAGGAATATATTCTGCTTTTTCACTGTGATTTGTTCACATACACTTTTGGAAAAGATCCTGGGTGGCTGCTGGTTTCTGTGAAACAGACACCTACAGCATCAGACGTGTCAATGAAGAAAAGATCCTGGGTGGCTGCTGGTTTCTGTGCCAATAGACACCTACAGCATCAGGCGTGTCAATGAAAGAATATATTTTTATTTCCATTTAAAACAGTTTCTACGAAACTTCACATTAAGCCTTTTCATAGGTCAATCAATTGCCAATTTTTAAATATATCATCGGATGATTTAATGTTTACCAGGCTACCAGGAAAATCAAAGGTAAGTTTTCTGGGTCATTAAAACCAAAATCTAAACTTCACTGCTTGGTGTGCACAAAAAACTCTAATAACTACGTGGCAAGAGTTTCCCAACCTGGGTGGCTCAACTGCAAAGAAACTTATGGCCACTACTTTATTTTTTTTTTTACTGTGCCTGTGTATTAAATAGTTTCTAGGAAAGAATAAGATATACAATATCAAATAGCTGATAAAAAAAGCAGAAAGATGGACAATACCTCGCTGTTGTACAGCCAGAGGCGCATGTCTTCTTCTTTTATACGGAGCCTCTGGGAGAGATACTCGTGGATCTCCTTAATGGTCTGCATCCGACTGAAGCAGCCGGTGTAAGCCAGCACTCTCTTTAAAGGAGCATTTGGTGAAGGTACATTCCCTGGATTCACAATCATAAGAAAATGGCAGAAGATAATGTAGATACCCATCGGCCAGCCAAAATCGGATCAGTAACAACTGACACGCTACATACGCTATTTTGCGAAGAAAAGAAGTACACCCAGTTCTTCTCTTTTTGTTTATGGATAAAATAATGAGTTGGATTGAAAGCTCATTGTTACTAACCCTTTGGGACAACAAACTTGCTATCAAAAAGCAGATAAATTTACTTCCCTTCTTAAAAAAACCTATTAGAAAATTGCTCTCTTAAGATTCTCATGGGAAATACATTAATTTAAAAGTAGTTTTAAAAGACTGGACTATTATGTTTCTTTCTCTTAAAGACAGAGTATCAGCGACAATGGTAAATTTCAAAATAAAATACTTCAAAATATTGTGATAATTTTCTCTTTGAGAGCACAATAAAAATAGCAGTCTGACTGTCTTGGAAGTATCATAACTTTGCTCTGGTTCTCCTACAGAGATGAATGCTGCTCTGTGAAGATGAGACCAGTTTGGCAGTTTCACAATAAAACTACTCTAAATAACTGAATTCCTCAAAACTTAATTCCGTGAAGGTGTCTAGGATTTTCACCAGAATTTCTCCACAATCTCACGTTTGCAACACGAACTCATCCCATCAGTTGAGACTGGAGCTGGTTTCCATAATAGGAGCTCATCTTTAAATCAAACATTTGCACAAGCTCAGTTTGAAAGAGATGAGACCAGCTTTACAGGCTTTATTTTTTGAGCTTCTTTAGTTGAAACTCGGGAAATTCCCCACACCTCACAGAGACAGCTCTGAAACATATTCATGAGAAGCTTTTATTATATGGCCAGATCCAACCAGGCAACTGCATCAATGAAGTAACCACAAGTGACATTGTTCTACTTTCACTGTCAAAAGATTAAAATAAAATAAACAGTACCATATGAAAAGATGCAATATTACATGCAATTTGACAAGGGTGTAAAAATACACCATAATCATCTTAGGAAGTCAGCAAAGCATCAGTTTTGCTTCAGTATAGCAAGCCAAGTACTCATTATTGTTTTTTTTTTAAAGAACACAATAAAGCATTTTCTGAGATTAGGGATCAGAGGATTAGTTGTAAGATTACAGCAAGAAAGCACATCTGAAAACTCAAAAAGATTAATAACTGATTGGACAAATAAATTAGTGCAGAGCAAAATAATTCCAAATCAAGGTCAAATTTGGCACATCAGAAGATTCTCTTTATTTGAATTTGGGCTTTTTAGGATGTCCAAACAAAGCAGTTTCCATTTTATTAGGTCAAGTAGGAAATATGAATTTGGGCAGCAGGCAGTTTCTGTAGCGGAACGGGATGAAGCAGGCAGCCACTATCCACAGGCTCAGCTGGAGATCCTACCCAAGCAGGGAAACATTGAGCATCTGCATGAGATTTTGGAACACAGGCCAACACCAGCAAGGCTGAAGGATTTGATTTTCAGTGGTCAAGTGAGCCCATTTCTGGACATTTGTTACTGTGGATGCACATGTGGATCTGTGCGTATCCAAACGCACACGCGTGTGAGCATCAGGTACTTCTTCAAACCTCTTGTGCAAGGCAAGTGTGCAACTGTGCATACAAACTGGGAACAAATCCTGCAACACTTTCCAGCTGTGACGTGAAGCTGCCATCTAAAGATTTTTCTTATAGTCTATTACTTGTACAATCTTGTGGTGAGCATCACCCCCACAATTATGGCACGTATTTCAGTTGGATGCTCACATTTCCTGAAGCCTTTCCCAATTGCATCAAGTAACAGTCTTCAAATTCCATTAATTCAATCCTTTTCTAAAGAGGATGAACTACCTTTGGCCATTAAAATCTGGCTGCCCAAGTAACTCAGCACCAGTTGGCTGAACAATGATGGAATTGATCTTACCGCTGTACTACCTGATACACCTCCCCAACCCAATGCACAGGAATCACGGAGTTGGCAGAGTTGGAAGGGACCTCTAGAGACCATCTCGTCCAACTCCCAACAGATACATCTATTCTATGGCTATAAAATTAACTCCTGACAGGATTAATCACTCCTGCCCTTCTGAGTTGCCCAGTTTGAGCCCTGCTCACTTCTCACTTTCCGCTCCCCGCTCTATTTGCAATAACTCTGCAACCAAACTGATTGCACCAAAGGGCCAAGTGCTGGGTCCTGTCCTTGTGTCACACCAACCCCCTGCAGCGCTACAGGCTGGGGGCAGAGTGGCTGGAGCCTCCTGGCAGAAAAGGACCTTGGGGTGTGGTTGACTGTTGGCTGAACAGGAGCCAGCAGTGTGCCCAGGTGGCCAAAAAGGCCACCAGCATCCTGGCCTGTGTCAGGAAAGGCAGCCAAGAAGGCCACCAGCATCCTGGCCTATAGCAGGAAAGGCATGGGGTACCTCAAGGGCTGTGTCCAGCTTTGGGCCCCTCACCAGAAAAAAGATATTGAGGGGCTGAAGCGTGTTCCTCAGCAGAAAAAAGATACTGAGGGGCTGAAGCATGTTCAGAGAAGGGCAACAAAGGGTATGGAGAGTAAATCTTATGAGGAGAGGCTGAGGGAGTTGGGGGTGTTCAGCCTGGAGAAAAGGAGGCTGAGGGGAGACCTTCTTGCTCTCTCCAACTCCCTGAAAGGAGGGGGTAGAGACGGAGGGATTGGTCTCTTCTCCCAAGTCACAGGCGATGGGACAAGAGGAAATGGCCTCAAGTTGCGCCAGGGGAGGTTCAGATTGGAGATTATGAAAAATTTTGACACTGAAAGGGTTATTGAGCATTGGAAAGGGCTGCCCAGGGAAGGGGTTGAGGCCCCATCCCTGGAGGGATTTAAAAAGCCGGGTTGCCATAGTGCTTAGTGACACGGTTTAGTGATGGTTTTTATCAGAGTTACGTTGATGGCTGGATTAGATGATCTTAAAGGTCCCTTCCAACCCAGACGATTCTACGATTCTATTCTATGATTCAGTGAAAATGCTCCCTTGTGCCTCTTTCTTCCAAGAGAAGAGAGGGGGAAAGCCTCGAAATCGTTACCGACCGCTGATTGCGCCTCCCGGTTGATTAGCTGGTGTACAAGCAGAGGGGCAGCAAAAGCTCCTACAGCTGCGGGTCTCGCTCTCTTAGAAACTGCGCGCTTGGGTTCTTGCTGCATTCTTAAGTTACCTCTAGGTAAATGCTGGGGAAACATTCTCAGGCTCATCATACCCATATTGACCCAGATGTTGGACTGCTGCGTGCGAGCGGCCGGCTGCTGCCTCAGGAAGAGCAGGTAGCGAGGGAATAACTCCAGCTCAGGCACGTTGGTTTTGCTGTTTTTGATCACCTAGAAAAGAGGGTGAAAACACATTCTAAGAGGCTGCTGTTCCAAACGTGTAAGGAAACCCGTAGGGAACAGGAATTAATGATTAAAGCAGATGTTTAAAAAAATAAAGTATGTTTTACTAGGAGACGAGAAATCCTCTGAACTTCTTATGGGGTCTTAGGCAAATATTCACAGGAATAATAATTTACCAATTTCTGAGCACTTTTAGAAGCTTATTAGTTGCAGATTGTCAAAAGGAAACACCTTCTTTAGCAGAGCATCCCTTCCTGTGCAATGCCAGGGATAGAACACTTTTATAATCCCTGAAATCTATGTGAATTTACAACAAACTCATTAATTCTGCTCAGTATATACTTCAATATAAAGGTTTGACAACTGTTGAAAAAACACACATGCCAAATAAGACATTTGTTCCCAACTTTAGGATTGAATTAAAACTTTCATAGCGTAAGAACAGACTGAAACTTATTTTTGTTGCATTTTGATACTGACAGAAAAAACCTGAAATTACCCCAGAACACGACTTGCAGCTTTTGGGTCACTATTTCTACAAAGGTTTTGCTATCTACATCTGTCCAAACGTAGACAAGCATAAATGGCAGGAATGTTCACTATTTTTGTGCCCATGTGAAGCAGAAGAAAACCACTCAGCTGAAGCTGTGAGAAGCAATATAATACACTGAAGTGCCACGGGATTAAACTTCAGTTACAATAAAAACAACAGCGATGAAATGTTCTGGAAAGAAACAACATAATAGTCCCTGCTGCGGGGTGGGAGCCTGGGACTGTAAGTGCCCCTGTAAATGGTTGTGAGCAATCAAACAGTCTTCAAGAATTCAGGTGTTCAGATAACTAAGTGTCAAAATGACCAAAAAGTTGAAGTTCACACATACATTATTTATATTTTTTTTGCAGACAGAATACCCGAACTAAAGTTCTCTCATTCTGAATGTCAGCCTTTTTTTTTTTTCTAATGACTCTATCACAAAAATCTCAAGTGCATTAGTTTGTGCCGTGTATAAAGAGATGTGGCCTTTTCTGGCTCCTGAAAGGTGTTTGTTTCCATGGAGAAGGTGTGGGAGGAGGGTAACAGGAGCCAGTGATTTTTCACTATAGAATCATTGCCAGTACAAGGGCTAACGGATCAAATCCTCAACAATCACACAGCTAATTCTCCCCCATTTGTGACACCGGATATTTGTGACACCAACCACTTAATCTCTGTTGCTCCCATCCAAAAAATCCCCTCACTTCCTTTTTTTTAAGCCTAGCTCCTCTAGGAGACCACCTGACACACAATAACCCAACACTACGTGGAATAAATACACTCAACAGAAACTCAAGGAAGTTTCCGGTGCCTCTGAGTGAACAGACCAAATTGCTTCCATTTTTCTTGCCTCTACCATCAGCCCACTTTTTATATAAATTCAATATTAATAATTCAAGTCATGCCAGCTTTAGCTCCAAATGATTATGACCTGTTAATCGTTTTGCAGTATCACACCCAGGGAAACAGAGAGAGAGCTCAATAGATCGTTAGGAAATGATATGATTCAACAATGGCTGCTGCTATATAATTACTGCTTCTCTTTCAGAAATACTGTTGCTGTTTTAACTGCAACCAAAAAAAAATAATCTCATTGGGATAACACAGACTCATTATTAGTCCACTTATTCAATTCCATTTTAATATATGGCACTTTCACATTTGAAAATTATATTCTGCAATACAAGCTGCATTGTGCCCAGAATTAATTTTCAATTAAAGTTATTACAGCTTTAATACAGAAAACACTAGTGTTAGTTACAAAAAGTCAATTCCAGTTCTTCAAGTTTTTTTGTTGTTTTTTTAACAAAACTTTTATGCAAACAAGTACAAATAGCACCTTATCTTTGATATGCTCTTGCTAATTACTTAATTTTATTACAAGGCTTCAAGTGACTACAATTAAATAATTGTTGATATAAGAACATAGTATTGCCCATTTGTAAATATATTTTTTATCACACAATGGACACACTCCTGTTAATTTTTTGTAAAGCTATTTCACAATTTTATTGTGATTCATTGGCTTTTCTGTGTAGTGTCAAAGGTAAGAAATGTTAAAATTCACTACATACAAATTATTTGCTGACAAATGAACATTCCATAAGTTTGGAGGAGCGTTACTGCTTTTGTGCTGAAGAATGAGCTCACCAGTGAGACTTTCAGTGACCCATTAGAAAAAAAGAAAAGGTAATTATCATAATACTAGAAGGAGAATGACACAAAAGAACTATTAATTTTGAATATGTGATAAAAATTGGTATTCACCTGGCTATGATAGGTAATACCTGCAACAAAAATCAAATCTGAAGAATTAAAAGAGCCCGCCAGGCTGAGTGGGTCAGGTGAGGTTACTGGTCCCTGCTTTTAGCACTGCCCATGGTTCACCAGAATCACCCTGATTCACCTTAGACAGTAGATCCTAACTCAGTTTTAGCATCTATGTCTTGACAAATTCATTATGATAAATTCTTTACTGAAAAACCTTTGCCCAGAAGCCCAACAACCAGTCTGGGCATACCAAAAGCTATTACGCTCATACACCAATTCTTATCAGGAACCCCCACTCCTGCAGCTACAGCTCAGAAGTGCTTCTGGGCAACCATTTTCACAAAGAACAGTCTTCGCCTGTTTTCTTTACTGCCATCACCTGTTGCTTTTAGATCTTCACCAGATCTTGTGTGTTGTGTTTTCTGTGACACTGAACTCAAAGGACAGCAATTATTACCTTCCCCCCACATCGTTAAATTGTAAGAGAGAAGAAATGCATTTTCAAAGCTGCAGGTGTCCCGGTTTTAGATTTATTGGTTTTGCAGACCAGCTGAAAGTTTATCTTAGCTTTTAAAGATGACTGTTCTGATGCCAAGTCTTTTAAACTGATCTCTAGTTTACTTTTGTCTGCTTTAGCAATCATGGTCAGTTGAGCAGCACTTCTGCCCTGCTGCAGTATCTCCTGGGCTTTGTGCTCCAAACCTCCTGGTAAATATCTACAACTTGCTATCTGTGTCCATTTGTGAGGCTGCTTTTCCCCAGCTTGCTCTTCAAGACTCTTCCATTTAGACTATCCATTTTGGACGACGTAGGAGATGATGACCATAAAAGATTACCTTGTGCACCTGGCAGAAGCTTGGACCCACAGGGTTTTTTATGTTATCTGGGTGGTTATGGCAAGTAAACAATGTCTATAATCACAACTTACCGGCCTGGGCAAGGAGAGATTTGCTCCATACCAATGGTAAAGTGCTCTCCAAACTGGTTCTGGTACCATTATGTAGTCCTTTCCTTCAACCAACTGTGGGGATCGCTTTAACCTTCCACCCTCCATTGTTAATGATGCAGCCTTGGAACAAATAGGGATTTTGTCAAATCTCAAGTGGAAAAAAACAGTATACAGCTACCACAATTTCAGTGCATCCACCCTCCATTGTTAATGATGCAGCCTTGAAACAAATAGGGATTTTTTGTCAAATCTCAAGTAGAAAAAAATAGTATACAGCTACCACAATTTCAGTGCGAACTCAAAGGACAGCAATTATTACCTTCCCCCCACATCGTTAAATTGTAAGAGAGAAGAAATGCATTTTCAAAGCTGCAGGTGTCCCGGTTTTAGATTTATTGGTTTTGCAGACCAGCTGAAAGTTTATCTTAGCTTTTAAAGATGACTGTTCTGATGCCAAGTCTTTTAAACTGATCTCTAGTTTACTTTTGTCTGCTTTAGCAATCATGGTCAGTTGAGCAGCACTTCTGCCCTGCTGCAGTATCTCCTGGGCTTTGTGCTCCAAACCTCCTGGTAAATATCTACAACTTGCTATCTGTGTCCATTTGTGAGGCTGCTTTTCCCCAGCTTGCTCTTCAAGACTCTTCCATTTTGACTATCCATTTTGGACGACGTAGGAGATGATGACCATAAAAGATTACCTTGTGCACCTGGCAGAAGCTTGGACCCACAGGGTTTTTTATGTTATCTGGGTGGTTATGGCAAGTAAACAATGTCTATAATCACAACTTACCGGCCTGGGCAAGGAGAGATTTGCTCCATACCAATGGTAAAGTGCTCTCCAAACTGGTTCTGGTACCATTATGTAGTCCTTTCCTTCAACCAACTGTGGGGATCGCTTTAACCTTCCACCCTCCATTGTTAATGATGCAGCCTTGGAACAAATAGGGATTTTGTCAAATCTCAAGTGGAAAAAAACAGTATACAGCTACCACAATTTCAGTGCATGAACACAGAATGCTTTTTAATTACTGAAAAACTTTTAAGTAGCAATTAGCAACTGCTTTTCATACTGAAAAAATGGTATTTAAGTGTAACAATAATTAATTCTCAAGTTTTACTACTTATTATTGCTCTAAAAGGTTGTCCAATATCAAATTTGTGTGACATTTCTCTTGTGTCACCTACTCCAACAACTTCAGATACTGCTTTGAGAAATCCAATCTATACTCATTACTGATGGTGCTTTAAAACACGTCTGTATTTCACCTTTTTTTTGCACAAATACTGGAAAAACTGTCAGGTTTGGTTTACTATTTCATTAACTATTTTCTGGTTTTATGCAATAGCAATAAGCTCTTATATTTAGATTGAAAACACTGAATAAAAGTGTTTAATTATTAAAATATTTTAGAGTTAATGCCGAAAGTTGTGTATTCATAAATGCCTCTTTCATTCATAAGGTTTGGGAAGCTGTTTAAGAACATTTTGAATCTCTTCTCACACAACACTCAATAGCAGCCTTAGAAACAGAACACAATGTTTTTCCTCTTAAGACTAAGAAACCCAAATTCTGTTATATGACAGAGCAGTGTTAATTTAGAATTAAGACACTCACTGAAAAATCTAAACACACATAAAGCTGTGATGCAAGTACAGTAAAAAGACACTTTTCCTGCCTTCACATGACTCAGATGCACTTACCTTCACTGGCTCTTGTGTTACGAGGGGTTGGTTATCAATAGCTCCTGGTTTCTGAGGATTCAGATGTAACAAAGTGTTCCCGTTGCTTCCAAGGAAACACTGGTTATTATTGTCCGAGGTGTTGTGCTGCCTGGCAAAGCACACGTCAGCCCCTGGGGTGCCAGGGTAAAGAGAATCTGTTACAGAATATGAGAAAAAAATATATTTCTATTTCAGTTCATGAGTCCATAACAGAAAAAAACAGTTAAACTGCTGTATTCTCTTTTTTTTTGTTTTTAAAACAGAATGTTGAAGAATTTTGATGTCCTTCATACTTCAGTACAACATGCAACTCTCCCAAACTCGAGTGACAAATCTACTAGTGCTCTCAGAAAAGGTAAAGTGGATCTATGAGATCCAAAAACCAGATACTTACACAAATACTGGTCTGAAAACAGCCTAACCCAGTTTGTGTGAGCAAATGTATTTGGCATTTGCTGCTGTCTGAATGTTTGAATATCAAACTCCTCAACGTCTTACACAAAAACTCAAATATATATGCAATAATGCCTTGTTTTCATTTCTTCCTCTTGAATCAGCACGTAATTTTATTCTCCTAGAACCTCCTTTTGCTGTTCAGAACACTAAATCTAAATTTCAGGTTAGAAAAAAGAAAGAACCTTTATCTAAAACTTGTCTCCCTTCCTGCCGTTCCTCTATTCCCCAACCTCCACCCCAAAAATGATCACAGTAAGTTATCTACTTCAAATTGAAGTTACATTTTTAAGACACAGGTATTAAAATATCAGATGCAACATTCAGCTGTCTTTTAATGAAAAAAAACCCATCCAAATCTCAAATTTTCACAAGAACTGGCTAAAAATCATCACTAAAAGCTCTCCTCCTTTCGCAAAGACGGCTCCTTGAATCTGCACAAACTCATTAGGTCACATGCTCTGTAAAACTAAGTCTGTTTTTCCTGCTTCTTTCCTCTTTGGTCACCTCATTGCAAGGGACAGTCCGATCCCAACCAGGTACGAGCTAGAAACACTTTCATGTAAAGAGGGGGAAAAAAAATCCACTCAGAAAATAAATGATAGGACAAAAACGATCTTGAAAACAATTCTGGAAATTAGTCATAGCATAAAAGATGAATTGCTGTTTAAACCAGTCTGTTTCCTGCTTATCCACCACAGACCAAAAAAATCCCAGTAATTCATCGACGTAGATCACTTCTGCGATCTCAACTCCCTTATCTCTCCGCCTGGAGGAATCCATGCAGTATGTGGTTTTCTCAAAACCTGTTCTACATTAAACCTCCAAGGAAATAAGATGTTGTGCTTACTGCTGCTAGTAGTCTCTGAGGCTTCTGATGCAGTAGAAATATTATCTGAAAACTTTTCTTCTGTGGCACTGAAGTAATTAAGACCTCCCATTTTGTCTTCTCCCTGTTCTGAAGTATTGGCTGCCGCAGCTACGAGTGAATTCTTACCTCCACTCAAGACAGATGAAGGCTCTATCACAACAGGGTTTGCATCCTAAAATTGGTAGGCAAGTAGAAAAGTCCATTATAAGCCAATACCAAAGACGTTTAGCATCAGCCAAATCAATCACCAAAATTCACAGCTGTGGGGCAACTTTTGCATATCACAACAAGCTTATATAGATATATATATATACTTTCTACATCTACTGATGAAAGATCTGCAGAAACAGAATTGTTAAACCAATCCAATAAACGCTTCTGCATAAGATAAAAACTGTGAAATACCAGAATTTTCTTTATCTACATACATAAAAAGACAACCTTTTTAGACAGCTATAATTACAGACTACAAATATTTGAGGATTTGTTCTTGTTGAATTTCATACGGTTTAATGAGAAGAGCAAGCACAAAACCAACAAAAACCCCAGCATTCTTTCCCCAAACCTGCAACATTTTATTCTTCTCTAACTTTCTTTTGAAACAAAGTTGGTTTTGTTGGTTTTTTTTCCTTTGGAGAAGCCACATTGCAAAGGCAACCTGGCTCACACTTGGGCAAGATAAAGGCAGAGAAATAAATGCACATCCCCCCAGCAGCATCACTTGCCAGCCCAGCACAGACATGATGTAAGAGAAATGCTACCCAATTTCCAGCACCAGCCCCAACAACGGCAAGGAATGAATGAGAAAACAGAAGAAAAAGGGAATTAACTGACCCTTCGAGAGGAAAAAAGAAAATCCATGCAGTGAACCACACTGTAACAACACTGGAAAAAAGGGATATTTCCTTTTATCTTGTCCCCTTTTTACCACATCACTAAACACAGTATCTTGTCAAATAACAAAACTGTGCAGTAAAGCTAAAAGTATAAAAATAAGACAAAAATGTATGCTGGAATTACAGCAATCATTTCTAGATTTTCTCAGAGATTCTGAGTGTCCTTTTTGCTGGAGGCAGAGAGTGAGTAACAGCCCCGTGCTCTTGTGTGAAGGATGAGGTATGAAACCACGTGCCCACCTGAGGACTTGCACCAGGACAAGGATCAAATTACCCCGTATTTCAGGCATTTAAGCCATCATTTGTCCAATTCATTGTGCACAAAGAATGACTGTAATTACACGGTTAGTTAATGCACGCATTGCAGTTTTTTTATTTCCATTTATACAACTCAAATACTTACATAATTACTTATCACTATATAAAACTCTTTTGAGAAATAGTTTCTTTCACTTGTGTGAAATCTCCACCTCAATTAAATTTTATTAAATATGCTTTCTTTTCTAAACTTCATAGTGATGCTTTAACTTCAATACTTTAGTTGGAGGGTACGAAGAGCACTCTGTAAATGTAAGGTTTGAGTAGGACTCCTTCGATCACCTTCGGGTTCTGCACTACTTTTCACCATTGTCTATAAATCAAATTATACCAATTCCCTCCTTTATTTGCCCAGAAAATGCACAGTGTGTATTTGCGACCCAAGCGAAGACAAAGCCAAAAGAGGTGACTTTAGTATCAAAGACTTAAAGGAAGTACTTTTTTGAGAGTATAAATGTAAGGTTTGAGTAGGACTCCTTCGATCACCTTCGGGTTCTGCACTACTTTTCACCATTGTCTATAAATCAAATTATACCAATTCCCTCCTTTATTTGCCCAGAAAATGCACAGTGTGTATTTGCGACCCAAGCGAAGACAAAGCCAAAAGAGGTGGCTTTAGTTTCAAAGACTTAAAGGAAGTACTATTGTGAGAGTACGTTTTCATTCAAGAAAATATTTTGACATGCAGGAATGATGAAACGAAGCACAGAAAGAGGTGACAGTTTAATGAAGTTATAATGAAAAGCTCCCCATGTGACAATGATTCAGCAAAACGATTATTTTCCTCTGAGAGACGGGAGATGCTTAATTTCAAGCATTATTGGTTAAGCAGTCATTTGCTCTACGCTCTTTTTTTTTTTATCAGCACATTCAGAAATACAAAGAAATCACTTATTCAGTGTAGAGTACTATTATACTTACGTATTTGACATATTCTTTCCACTGGTGCCACCACGGCATCGCGATAAGAAACCAGTTGTGCCCTGGCTGGAGGCCGTACCTGCTTTCCCTTTCTAACCAGCCTCTGCACATAAAGAGTGAACAACGTGAAGTATTAATTGAAACAGGAAAATTATGGTCCTTCTTTCAAAAATTAAAATTTAAAGGCGATTCTGAACCCCATTTTAAGATTCTGAGCCAAACACGTACCTAATAATCTGTCCTTCCTCTTCTGGAGTGGCGGGTCGTAGCCCCAAAACTATATGACACACCTGGAAAGAGAAAGTAATTCTTATTAAGAACTACACCTCTGCGCAACAAGCATTAGGTGAAACAAAGAAAAGAACAACTCTAATGGGACTTTTCAGAAAATTCTTTTCAATTATGTAGCAAGATTACCTAAAGTTGAACAAACCACTAAAAAAAAAAGAAGTATTTTGAGCTATGAGATCCACAACCCATTCCCACTGTTAAGACAAAAATACCAAGAATGTTAAATGCCCCAAGACAAATTAAGGTGAACAGAAAATGAATTTTCATTATTTTCCTGGCTGACGCACACGCTATGGAAGATGACAGTAAGTGACACAGGGCTGAGCTGTCTGTATGTACTGGAGAGAGGGAATGGGGAACTGGGAGAATGAAAGATACTGGAAGAATAAGCTAAAAGTTACGGGGGGAAAAAAGGGAAGGGGAAAAACGGGGAGAAGTGGTTGTATAAGGGACTGAAAGGAAAACGAGCACATGAAGAGGCTGAGGGGGAAGTTTATATGAGTCCAACCAACCAGTCACCACCACAGATGCGATGACTCTCAAAATTGTAGAAAGTCTGATTTTTTTTTAAATTTTTTTTTAACAAACGCAGAAGAAAAAGGCACCATCCCTGAGAAGGACACTCTGTCTGGGTGGGGTATTATCCTGAGTACGAGCTGCAGTCCCAGATGGCTAATATTGTGCTCCTCTCTCCCTCCTAAAGCCCCCCAGGCTGGCTGTGGTGATGTCCTGGCTGGTTCCCCAGCAGGTCCCATCCCAGGGTGTGTGGCAGCAGGAGGTGACTCTGCAGGAGCCCCCGTCTCCAGGGCAGGGAGGAGGCTCAGCCATCGCCTCTCCCAGACAGATTTCAAACTGGTTGCCACTCATAACGTGATTTATCATCTTTTCCTTGTGTCTCTTTTGAGGCTATCAATTTGCATCTCGGCTGGAGATTTCTAATGACTGGTGAGATATCTTATTTAAATTTATATTACAGTGTGAGAGACCGTTTCACATTCTGCATAAAACAAAGGCCATTAGCTGCTGGGAAAGCAACAGATTTTCCAGCACACACATCACAGCTGGCTCTGGTGCTGCTTTTTAAAGTCACGTATCAGATTCTTCACAGCACACACATCACAGCTGGCTCTGGTGCTTCTTTTTAAAGTCACGTAACACTGTGTGAGTATCAGATTCTTGGTATAAACTAACCCTGCTGCAAATAAACCAACCTACTCATTGCGAAGCTTCCCAAGGCACTCCTCTCAGACCACTTAGCTTTTCTGGCTGCAGATGAGACACACAAGCTCATGATGGTTCAAATAAATGCCCAGACAGATCAATGGCAGACCCTGTCCTGCACGAGGAGGCTGCTGAGCCTGCAGCACGAGATGAGGGCACCTCACGTGATAAAGTTATCAAAGGAAATCAAAATCTGAAACAAAAACGTAGCAAGCTGGGCTGCATCAAAAGAAATGTGGCCAGCAGGGACAGGGAGGTGATTCTGCCCCTCTGCTCTGCTCTTGTGGAGACCCCACCTGGAGCTCTGTGTCCAGCTCTGGAGTCCTCAACACAGGAAGGACATGGATCTGTTGCAGCAACAACACAGGAAGGACATGGACCTGTTGCAGCCAGTCCAGAGGAGGCCACGAAAAAGATCAGAGGGCTGGAGCACCTCTGCTATGGAGACAGGCTGAGAGAGCTGGGGTTGTTCAGCCTGGAGAAGAGAAGGCTCCAGGGAGACCTTATAGCAGCCTTTCAATATCTGAAGGGGCTACAGGAGAGCTGGGGAGGGACTCTTTGTCAGGGAATGGAGCAATAGGACAAGGGGGAATAGTTTTAAATTGAAAGAGGAGAGATTTAGATGAGATACCAGAAAGAAGTTCTTTGCTGTGAGGGTGGTGAGACACTGGAACAGGTTGCCCAGAGAAGCTGTGGCTGCCCCATCCCTGGAGGGGTTCAAGGCCAGGCTGGATGGGGCTTGGAGCAACCTGGTCTGGTGGGAGGTGTCCCTGCCCAGGGCAGGGGGGTTGGAACTTGATGATCTTTAAGGTCCCTTCCAACTCAAACCATTCTATGATTCTAACTCTTGTCAGGAGAAAAAAAATGTTGTGAATGAGACTTCCAACAAGCAACTCAGATGTGGATTCAGCATCAAGACCAATTGATTAAATGTTCCTTCTTTCCACCTCAATACTGCAGAGGTATTTGTTAGTTAATCTATATTAAGTTATGACAGGGTATTTGATGCTAGACAGTCTGAAAACAAAGACAGCCCTTCTTGAGAAGGTTACATACAATGTAAGCAAAACCTGACACAATTAGAGATAAAAAGAATTTGCAGAACTTTCTGATTTTACTCTTTTCAGCTGTGGTGTACCTGATGACCTCAGAATGCTCCCACTCCATCCCCACGCAGTCCTTGGGAAAGTGTAGTTCAAAATACAATTTATAGTCAAGGGTCACAAGCAGGAGAATGGGTAGTACGCTATTCAGGCAGTCTCTCACAACAATTAGTTATTTTTTTTAAAAATAACACACAGCTTCTTTCTGATGAAGTATTTTTCTGCTACAATGTGACCCTGTAACTGATTAAGCTTCACTCATGAAGATGAGCCCTCCCTGGAAGAGCTGAGGCTGTCACACAGGGCTGGAGGTGAATACTAAATTAGGGAAAATCTTCACGGCTTCATTAGGATTATTATTATTTAAACTCAGCCCCTATGAAAAATGGGTAAGGAACAAACTGCAGCAAATGAAAATATTCTTTGGGGGTTATTTTCTGTACAAAGTGAAACCAGAGCTAAAACATGAATGTTTTAAGGCTTTATAAAAATCCAATTCAAGCTCAATTAAAACCCAATTCAGTACACACTTGATGCTCGGGTTCTGCACCACAGCAGCGATAGGATATGACAGCTTTCAAGGTGCTGCAAGAAGAAAAGCAATGAAAGGTTCCTCAGATGGCCTTAGCAGAAAACGTAGAAGGGAAGTGGTTGGAAGGAGTTAGCAAAAGCTTTTCTCATTTCCTGTGTCACTTTCTTGGCAAAGATTTGCAAGAACAGAACATTTAAGAACACAGACGTTTTCTAATGGAAAATATAAATGCTGATACACTTGAAAGTTCTTTTCATTTTATAAACAGTACACTACGTTCACTTTAACAAATTGTGCTTTAGGCATCTCCATACACTGAAAAGAATAATAATCAAATAGAGAATCATTCCCTCAAGGTAATGTATAATCACAAAACCACATAACGTACTGCAATAGACCCAACCGTAAGGATGTTGACACAAACGCTGATGCTGCATTTCATGGCCATGTAAAAAGCTCATGAGTTAATTACTATAATTTATACGTTTAAATTTCCTCTAAACTTACCTGAAAAAGTAGATTTAAAAATTCATTGGCAAGTGCACTCTTCACGCTCCATATCTGATAATCCTCCAGAGTGAGGTGTCCAAGCTTAGTAAAAGGGAGAAGGCAAAAACATCAATGTTAAAATACTCATTAAATGTGTCATAAAAGGCATGAGAAAGACAGTGATTTGATAAAAATTAGCACCTGCCACCCCGATAATAAAATTTGATCCAATGAAAGAAGAAAAATCCAGTTCTAGTATAACATATGCAACCTAAAGAACCAAAAAGCTTCGTGTGTGCAGAGGATGAACTGTGCCCAGGAGTAAGCTTTGTTCCTGCTCTCCATCCCTTGGGTTCAGTATTGATGCTCAACCACAGCACCTGCACCTCCTCAAACCATGAGCCAGCAGCAGCACGGGACTGCTCAGGGCAACCACTTTGTAAGAAACAAAACAAGACTAAGATGATCTCTGCCTTAGATCATCCAAATAAGCTCTGCACATACTTGTGTCCATTCAGAAACCCGCCGTCTTCCTCTCTGGGTTGGGAAAAACTATTTTGGATCATCAAGTTCTTATGCCTTTCCCCTTCTACACAAGTCCTATTAATTCTGAATCACCTGCAAAGTCACAGTAGTGTAACACTGCCCAGTGTCAGAAGACCTTCTGATTTTCAACAATTCAGGGATAGGATCAATCTGAATTTTTTATATTGTAATACAATTCAGAGCCATTTTTCCAGCAGCGACAGTTACTCCACCTCTTCTTACAGACCATTTTCTCCAGAGTTCACCCAGGTCAAAGCCAGCAGATGAAGAGAGGTTAAGTAATTTATGTAATTACTGCACCATCAGCTCTTTCCAGCACTACATTCATGATGCAACTATGAAAGATAATTCTGAAGACTTTGTGGAAACAAGACTGCTGTATATTTGGTTATAAACTACTCTTTTAAAAAGCAAGCAATAAAAACCTCAAAGGATGAAAGAAAGAGCTCACTGAAGCTGTGTTTTCTATTGCTTTGGTAATGAAAAAATTATAATAGATTATTTGCCCACCACTTTGTTGGCGTACAAGCAGGCAAGCCAACTACTCAAACAAGTAATTAAGCATTTCTAGACATTCTTTATAGTTTTTCTTAAATTATTTATAGTTTACAGACACTCTTCCTAACTAGTGAAGCAAAGGATGAAATAATGGAAACAACTTCCCCTATATTGTTTGAAGATGACAGTGCCTATCTTGAAAAAGGAAGAACATAATTAAAGCTTTACACACAGCTAACTATAAATCATAATAGAAACTATTAAGATTTTTTGCTGCGTGTCACAACAGTCATGACAGATACCTCCATAGTTTCCGAGATACTTAGCTGTGAAAAAATATCATCATATATAGTTCACTGGTTGTATATGATCTTATTGCAAACAAAATCGTTTGATAATGATAATGCATAAATTACTATTGCATTAACACAGTCCTGCTCCAGCATGGGAGGATAATGCATCTTTATATAGCATAAAATATAAGACACACTAATGCACTATCCCTTTCTTCCCAAGATCATTTTTAACGTGAAACAAAAGAATATTTTGTCCAGAACAAAAGTCAAGCATCAGATTTAAAACTGGTATTAATTATGCATAGCCAAAGCCTTGCAAACAGTATATTCAAATTAATTTCATCTGGCTGTGTATTTTTGGTTTAGTTTCATATATATAGATGGCTTATAAAATTCAAACATAGTCTTTCTCGCACAGAACAATATGGAAAATTTTACTGGAAAACTGACATTTCTTGAAAGATTCTTTTATTGACACATCTCTGCTTTAAAGAAAGCACAAGATTTAACTCCTATAAAAAAACTGAAGATACTAGGATATAAAAATGACAAGGAAAGAACAGCAAATTCCTACCTTTGTGGTATCATGCATATTCAAAATATCTTCTACAATTTCAGACAAATCCATGTCCAATTCCTTCACAAACAAAAGGATTAGAAAACAAGAGTTAAATTCTAAGAGCACCCTCTGGAGCTGCATGTGTTCAGAATAAACATATAACTAAGAAATGCTGATGATACCTCTATGTAATTCACAAGTGAGTGCTTCGAGACAGTTGTGCTTTGGTACCTAAGGTGTCTTTATATGAGAGAGCAGCCACCACAGTCACATCCCCCTGCTGTGGGGAGTGGAAGTCACAGCTGCACAGGGTGAGTTACATCCAGTTATCAAGGCTGCTCTGCTCAGGTAGTCGAAGGAAGCCTGTATTTCACTGACACCACGTTCAATCAACACTCACATTCCTACTTTTCGAAGGATGGCTTGAAGAAACAGGAGCAAATGAATAGAAAACCAAACACAACTTACAGGGATTTTATCCGTACGGTTGTCTTTCCAGACCTCTAAAAGTGCAACCACCATTTCTTTGAGCTCGGTGCGAGACAACACCCCATCCCGGTCAACGTCAAAAACCTTGAAGCAAACTGAGAAAAAAAAAAGGAAATTACTTTTCTATGTTACAACCACTCAACAACTATTGTTTTTTTTCCCCTTGCAGAATGTAAGTCTGCAGAGTCACAAGAAACATGATTTAGTGCTGACAGTTTTGATGAGGCAGGATGCATGTGTGGCAGTGAGGAAATGGAGCAGCTGTGTTTAATAAACTGAAATCTAGATTCCTGCAATTCTGTGCCGTGTTTTCTGCTGTGACATAGCAGGGAACATATGTGCATCCAGAAATTTCCAGTTGAATGAGAGCTTTTAAGTTGCAGCAATATGGCTTTGGAAAAGTATGGAACAAAGGTATTTCAAAACACGAACACTTTGCAGGGAGCCAGCTGACAAATGGACAGTAAACAAGCCAGAACATGCTGTTTACCACAAGACAATCAAATAGGACATTCATTTTATATTATATATCATGAATAGATAAGTGTTTGCACTTCCTATATTGAGATACACAGTTCTGCATCATAATGCAGAGCACTGCAAAATAACTTCTGAACTGTTATCTTTTTTCCAAGCAGGTTAATAATTTATATGAAGCTACGGATAAGTTATAAAATATATAGAATTCGGTTTAATCATCCTTTATAAAAGGAAGCCTTGATATTTAAAATTCCTTTAATTTTTAAACTTAAGTCTGTTACCTCTCACAGACACACACTTGTTCAGCAGAAAAAAAAGAACTCTAAAAAAGGTGGAAACAACTCAACCTCATTGCTCAAACTGAAAAACTTCTCTACCATTAATAGTTAACATTGCACATACTTACACTTCTGTCTTTCTGCCAAGGGTCCTCTGCAACATGCTGAGAGCCCACAGGAAATTTCTTTAAAATCTATGTGATTGTCTCGGTTTTCATCAAAAGCATTAAACAAACCTGCAAACCACAAAAGCATCTCCTGTTACAGCATCTGGCTGAAACAGCTCACAACTGTACTCAGCATTTATATGAGGGGTTAATGGTTAACAATTGCAAGGAGAAGTACAAACACTTGTAACTAATTCTTACTAAGTGTAATAAAGATAATTAAGCACTACCAAGAGCATTTCAAAGGTGAATTAGATCACTCATGTATGGCCAGACAAAGCCAGGGGCAGGGAAGGAATCAAGAATTCTCAACAGCAGCTTTATTCCCATGTCTTCCTTGTACTGAGGGATTTCTAGGAGCATCCATCTAACCCAGCATGGTCAGGACAAGCATTTTCACAAAAGCTAAACGACCAAAATACTAAAAGCTCTTCCTTGTACTGAGGGATTTCTAGGAGCAAAAAAAGCTAAATGACCAAAATACTAAAAGCACTCAGATGCCAAATGCTTTGGCTTTTCCAAAGTGCCTGATAGAAACTCCTACGAAAACCACTGAGTATCTGTGCAAATCTGGCCGTAAGTGATTTAGGAGTTTTAGTTACCAGCCTTCAAAGGATTTAAGGGTTCTATTCATTCAGCAGAGATAACTTTTTATCCCATAAAAATATCTTTTTTAGTGACAATGATTCAGTTGCACTATCCACAGAAGACATATAGAATGACCAGAAACCAGTAAAGTTCCCCCACAGCAGCCGTGTAAATGTGTATCACTAAGTAGATAAAACCCACTCGCAAGCGGAAGGATTTGGGGATATATCCCTGCTGAAAACTGAACCTGCTCTTCCAACAGCTCGCACCCACAGCAGCTGAATTCCCCATTTGCTACTAACTGCCCCCACTTGTCAGTAAAGCTGACCATTTGGTGATAAAAAATTGTCATTCTAGGACTGCAGAAAAAAACTAGCGTGTAAGTAGAACGTCACTTAACGTCCTTACATTGTGCAGTAAATGGCAATTAGACAATTGCAACCTCCAGTTATTACCAGAGTGGCTTCAACTTGAAAAACCAGCTCTGTTATTAGTGTGTCTGCATTGCAACACACAAACTCCCCCCCAAGACTTCTGAACAAAATCTTCCTTAACTTGCGCTGGTAGGAAGAGTCTTTCCTTGACAACTTCTGCCTTGCGTGCCCAACGGCCACTTAACAGATGAGACTCACATTTGTCATTTAAAAAAAATGGTCTTCTATTTTATCTCGTTTAGGGACTGTGGTATGTTTAGTCTTTACAGGATCTTAAGGAACCCAATGGAAAGTTTTAAGCAACTATGAGGCAAATTATACAGAAAGTTTGCCCTATTTCCTGACCACTAATAAGAGTGCACCACACAGAAGCATCGCTTCCTTCGTCAATCCAGATTTCCCAACAAATAGATATTTCTCAGGCATCTTTTCTCATTTTCAAACATTCCAAACTCAGTGGAATAAATCTCTGTAATTTAAGCTTAAAGTACTTTTCAAAACAGGCCCATTTTTAAACCCCTGAAGTCTGTATGTCAGTAGACCATCAGCACCACCACCTCCTCACAGGTTTGATGGAAGTTCCATACCTTCACTCAGAGACGGATGAATAGGAGGGGAAACTAAGGGGGCAAACGTTTCTAAATCAAAACGTCCAGTTCTTGATTGAGCTTTTAGCAGCCAGTACCGTTTTTCGAGATCGATGATGTCGGATTCTTCCACTGTATGATCAACAAAAAGAAAAGAAATTTTTGGTAGTATCTAGACCGTGTTAGAATTCATCACCAAACAAAAATGCAGCATTATTTTGTCACAAAGAGAAATTATGTTAATTTTTTTTATTCCTGAGTTCTGCACATAAAAATTCAAAATACGAGCAGTAGAGAAATAAAGGTCCAATTTTACTTTCTTTATCTGCAGAATCATCTTACCTATTCACCATCTAGGAGTTCCACATCAATAATACATCATCACAAGTGCTCAGAAATACAGAAATGAACTTTTCCCACTAAGGGCTCCAGCAGTCTCCTTATTTTCACATATTTCTTCTTGGTGAACTGAACAGTTAGATTACCTGTACAATACCTTATTTTCCCACTGTATCCAGTATTTAAATCCTCTAAAAGGATGTGAAGTAGCATTAAAAAAAAAATAAAATCCCACAACTTCTAAGAAAAAAAAAACAACAACTTAGTACTTGGCTGCTCTTGACAAATTCCTATTTGAAATTTTTAGCCTCCTTACACAGTAACAAGGCTACATTTTGTATCTCAGCATTAATTTTTTCCCAAATATAAACCAGTTTGTTTCACTTTATTATTTAGCCTATAGATACACTTAGAAACCCAGACAACATTGGGGAGTGATTATACAAACATATACAATTATTGTACAAACCTAGAAGAGGCTTTATACTGAGGAACTTAGAAGCTAATTTAAAGAAGGCGAAGAAAGCAAAATCCCAAACCCAACAGTGAGTAAAACAAGGTGCTGGGCAAAGGTGAATAAAAATAGCCAGAGGAAGCACTTGTGTTTTCTTCCAAAGCATGATATACAAATGCCAGTCTTCTTACGTTTTATCCTTAAAATTAAATATATAAATATTAAGTTTCTGCTCAACAATACTTTTAACCTTTTTACATATGCAAGTGTGTCACAACACCGCTTTAGGTCAGTGCAAATTAATTGGTTCTCAAATAGATATGTAATGACAAAGCTGTCTATATTAAGAACTACTACGTGTGATCCCATTCCCAGATGGTTCTGAGCCTTTAAATCCACGCCAGCTTTCTAATAGGTTTAACTTGAGCTATTTGGCCTGGTTTAGTCTTCAGAAACAATAATAATCCTGTAAGGCTTAAGAACAGAAGAGACCCAGAAAAAGTTATTTGTCAAATTGAAATTGTATTGATTTCTTTTCCGATTTCTGTCATTAGGAGTAGTAATTTCATCAGAATAGTAACTTAGGTAACCTACAATAAGCAGGAGCTAGTTGTAAGTACCCAAGCAGGCACATCTCCTAATGCATCACAAACCACACACCACCTTACCCTCATCAGCAGAAAGTCTGGGAAAATGTTAAGAAAAGCTTAATAGCTGAAGTAGCACTGGAGGAGTGGAAGGGGTTTGCACCTTCCTGTAAAATATTTTTAGATAGTGTAACTAGAAAAGTAACACCAGTGAAAACACGTCCCCCTTGTCCTCTGTACATCAGTACGGGCACTAGACAGACCATACACTGCAGTGGAAGCTCCCCTGGAAAAGCTGCAGCTCCCAGGGCTCTTTGGGCTCGTTAAGCTAACGTAAATTGAGGCTGAACGGAGGAATTTTACCTTCCCTCTCAACCCCAAGCACGTGCAGCAGCATCCTCTCTCCCAGCATTATCAGCTATGGGGCTTTTACATGCCAAGTGAGATAAGAGAACTGATTAAGAAGAAAAACTGAACCGATTTCCTTTCTGCTCTCCCCTTCCTTCCTTGATGGATCGATTCCCTTTCCTGGCTCACCAGCTCCTGGCCCTTGGTGGTGTTGTAATTACAGAATCACAGAGGGGCCTGGGTTGGAATGGGCCATTAAAGGCCACTGAGTCCAACCTCCTGCCACGGGCAGGGACATCTTCAGGTAGAGCAGGTTGCCCACAGCCCCGTCTAACCTGACCTGGAATGTTTCCAGGGATGGGGCATCCTCTCTGGGCGACCTGGGCCAGTGTCTCACCCCCCTCAGTGTACAAAATTTCTTCTTTATATCAAGTCTAAATCTTCCCTCTCTTTTAGTTTAAAACCAGTACCCCTTGTCCTATCGCTACAGGCCCTGCCAAAAGTCAGCCTCCAGTATATAAGGAAAGAGTAATCCAAATGTATAAAGGAACATCAATATAGTAGAAATCATGAAAGCAAAATAGTTATTTCTTTGAGGATCACATACAGGAATATGGTAGGTGCTAGGGCTGCCCCAGGCATAAGCAGCTCCACGATCCTATGCAGAACAGTCCAGTGATGTAGAACTGCATCTGGAATCTTCCAAAAAAACCAGCAGTGTCCTGGTAATTTAATGACTGACCTGCTCCACAATGCTCAGCATAGCATGATGAGAGAAAATCTACCAAATAAAATACGACTTCCCTCAATCTCGTTGCTTCTACAGGGGGCTACAGAACTGATAAGAAATAAGAGCGAACTCACAAGACATGACATTAAGACTAGAGTACCAGCATTCTGCAGGAGATAGAGGAAAAGGCATATTTGGGGAGTTTCAAGGACAGGAATAAGCAAAAAGTAAAATAACAAATGAAAGGTAAAAGCCACTTTATGAGACAGAACCTCAAGCACATGAAGAGAATCACAGAGCTATTTCACTGCCTAACCAACTGCACGGAAAGGGCGAGTTTGCACTGTCATTTGGAAGAATTGCACACACACATTATTGCTCTCATTAGCAAATACAAAAGCGTGATGCTACCTCTCTGGAGCATGAGCATGTAAATCACTTTGTTTCCTTTTCATCTACCTTTGTGAGTAGGAAGGATAACAAACGCACCAGATGCACTTAATTCTGGAAATGAGGCAACACTGGGAATATCCAAGAAACATAAGGAAGGTCACATTGTCTTTACTGAACAGTAAATCTGCAGGAACCTGCTCTCGCTGGCAGGTGCCTTATTTATCTTTAGTAATTAAGAACTGGAAGGTAGGTTCTCTGGCAAAATAAAACATTCTCAAATACCTCCAGCAGAAGCCAGCTGTGCTCCATTTCTTAAATTGTACTTCACTTGTACAGTGCTAACTTCATTGCTGTATTATTTTGATTTCAGAGAAGAAAGGTTATCAGAGAGCATCTTATCTGCATTTCTGTCAAGCAGTGGCTGAAATTACATGGTCATTTAACAAAGAATTTTCAAATAATCATCTTCAAAAGACTAGCTAATAAGTATTAGTATAAGTGCTATTATACTCATGTTACAGCCAAGGCAGGTCCCAGAGTATTGACTTTCTGCAGAAGAGCCAAACAGTTTAAAAGTAAACTGACAAAGTAGTAAATATATTCTTTGGACTGATTAGACTTACACAACTTTGGGTGAATGCAAATAAAAACGTGGCATTCATCGTAACAATGAATTGTAGCCCCACTGCAATAGTTTCACTTATTTAAAATACAGGAAGATTTATTGGATTACAGCACACGGGAAAGTTTAACCCTGAGTGGAAAAGCTGGCTGTGACAGAATTTGATTTCTCCAGAGTCATTTTTTGCACATAATCTTGTAGCTCAGCCTCAGGACAGGTCCTGCACCACCTATTCCTCCATAAATGTAAACTAAAAGAAATCTCCTGCAATTTTTTACCATACGTACATACAATCATATTTGTTATTGAAGTTTAAGTGAAGCATGGTAAAAGCAGACTGGACTTATTATCCAAACACACTAATGTGTATTAAAAAAAGCCATATTGTAAAGGGGTTTTATACAGATAAAGGATTTCACCTTTTCAAAGTATAATTTTTTTCCTAAGGCCTGTTCAGATCACATCAGGAAGTCTGAACTGGGCTTTCACTCAGTAGTTCCAATTTTAAATAATATACGATTATTTTAAAGAAAAATGTATCTCATATATACAATACAGTCCAAAACATCAGAACAGACTGGCTTTCTACACAAGTATTCATTTTTGTCAATTAAATACATGATATGATTATTCGAGGACATGTGGAGATATTACACACTTGTGAACTTTAACCCTATACCACCAGTTTACTACCATACGCTATTTTAGGTCTTTCTCATCACTGGTTCATTAAAAATATGAAAAAATTCCTTATCTGTAAAATTATGAGTAGTGTTTCTTAGTTCAATTCTCTAAGAATTAGACAAGTATAATTGGAAGAATGATGTCAAGTACACAAGATACAGTTTTCACATTATAAAGGAAGAACAGGTAAACATTTTCAGCAAAAACATGCATCTGAGAAACTGCAGATCTACTAAAAATGAGTTGACTTAAAACCAGCCGCCACACTGTGATTGACAGTCTGAGTGCACGATAGCGATAAACACTGAGAAAAAGCACCCTTAATTTAATGCCATTTCCATGAAAGGTATGCCCTTCTTAAATATTACCTAGGTAGCCAGCCATGAATAATCTCCTGTCTCAGAAAAAAAAATTTAAAAACAAGTTTTTATTTCAGGCACAAGTTATTACAATTCTTTATACGACCAGAATTAACTTAGTATTTCAATACATTTTAAAACTTTCATTTTTACCCACCTATTGGTACAATCCTCTCTGGTTCACAGCAGTAGAAGCATACCATATTCCCAACATTTTCACTGAAACTTGGTTTTATTACTGTTTACCATGATATCCTCCAGGCAACACCCAGCCCCAGGCGCAGAGAGAGCTCTTCATCGCATGACGGGCCGAGTCGGAACCAGAGACAGAATGACCCACCACCAAATGGTATTTCTGACTAAAAACTCTTGTTTCTCGCTTTCGAATTAACACCAGGAAGATTCCGGGACCTGGGCACAGAGAGCTGCTTCACAGGACATGAAATAGCCTGGGAACTAAGAGGATAACGAAGCGGCAAGATGCAGATTAAGTGACATGGAGGCTTTTTCCCATTGGCCATGTCTGCTCTAATACTTTTATCTTTTTTTTTTCTTTTTCTTTTTTTAAATTAAAAAACGGACACACGGAGAAGGGAATATTGTAACTTCAACCAAG